AAAGGTGCATCTGGGAAGTAACATTGTTGCAAGACAGTTAAGAAAGGCTTATTCATATCTACCAACCCTCTTGGCCTCTGGAGGCACAAAGATGAAGAGACATTAATCTAGTACACTAAAGGCTCATAATCCATTAGAAACAATGAGGATAAAACAGGCGAATGATAAACTTACATTGGATGCTATTGCTGGTGAAGATAAGACTTTATCATTAAAATAAGAATTTAGTTCAAAGTGAGAAGGGAAAACAAAGATAGCAAGTGTTTGGATTAAAAATAAAGAATGAGATGGGTTGCCAGAAGTTTCTTTATTGAATAGTCATTTGTTGAGTGCCTATAATTATATTTATTTGATTCTAAGATGTCAGATAATCTATCAGCTTTTTAAAGGAGAAAAAACTCTATGTTAAATGTGTATATCAGTTGTAAGGGGCATTTCCAGAAATGTAAAAATATGAAAATGCTCATTTTATGATACGTGCAAAGCAGTTTGCTAGGACAGCAAGTTCAAAAGTGTGCCTAATAGTCATGGACCTAGCATTACAGAGATTAACTTGGTGAAGTTACACATACATTATACAAATAAACACATAACCATAAAAGTATAATTATAAACTAATGTTGCAAGAAATCTGGGTAAGTTTGTCATGTGTATATGTAGCAAAAATCTGATTTAAAAAAGCTGAAACACAGGGGTTTCTCTAAAGCTGAGTTTTATTCTTTATTTTTTGACTAGAGAATACTATAAGGTCAATGAGCTATGAGAACTTCCCTTTCATCTTCTCTCTCCATACATCTCTGAGAAACTTTTCAATCTCTGCTAGAGGCTGCAATCCTGCCTATCGTTCTTCCAGATGACTTACCCACCATATTGGCACCCTGTCTAAATCTTCAGTCAGAACTAGTTTTATGGATCTGGATTTGTACATCTTTATCCCACATTAAGATTTTCATAGCATCTCAAGTTTATTCAAAACTTGTGGTTGAAATCTTTAAGAGTCATGTTAAAGTTACTGTCAAAGAGCACAGCTGTCTTTACTTGCCAGACAAGATTGGCCAGGTGATGTCAATTATTTTACAACATGTTCAGTTAATCAATATGTATCACTTACTATAGTGATGGTATTATGCTGGGGTTGGAGGGATAAAATTATTGCATGTTTTCTACCTTCAAGGAGTCTCAAATCTAGTTGAGGAGATAAGAAAAATAATATTCTTCTATGAGTATAAGGTCAGTCAATAAATAACATTTATCCAGAATAGTCCTGGGTTATGTGGAAGGCTGGGAGTTGGAATAAACAACAAAGAGGGGTAAAAAAACAAAACTAAACAAACAAAAAATCTTTCAGCAACCCAGTAGTGAAATCACTCCTCCTAATGACATGGTAAGTGTTGGATATTATTTAACTCTAGTCTGCTAGCATATTGGAAACTAGAGTAATAGACCCTGCTCTTTGCTTTGACCCAACCAGCTGCAAAGAATTAATACCGCCCCAATCTTTCTTTAGCTAGCCATCTTTGAGAGCTTTAGATTATTACTAAATATTGAAGGAACATTCCATCTTATATAAGCAGAATGTTTTATTCTATTTTTGCCATTTCTTAAAATCAAAGCAACCTAGAAAAAGTTATTCCCACAAACTCATTACTTATTGCTAACTTGACATATTCAGCTTGATCATCTGGTGTAATGTATATATTCTTGAAACTAAATTGATTATCTTGACACTTGCACTTGGCACAATGAAAAGAAAGCTTATAGCTTCAAATATAAGGTCTACATATTACCACATTATAAGGTTAGGATGCCAGAGAAACTAGGAAAGTCTTTTTAAAAAAAATCAAAGACATTTTGTTATTTGGTTGGTAAAACTATGAATTTAAGAAAATCTGAATATAGGAGGCCCAAGTATAAAGAATATCTGAAACACAGATCCTAAATATGATGCCTTTTTCAATATCTTACACCTAAACAAGATATGTGAAAGCATGGGCATATTAATTTTGCAAAGATTGCAATCTCAGATATATTGCATCCTAGCTATGACATTTTCTAAGAATTTTTCTCATAAAAACTGTGAAAGCATGAGGCCAGCAACATCAGTAGAAAATTTTAGGTGAGCATGAGTATAATGGCACTTACAAACTGATTAGTGTGAAAAGGTCACAGTGGCAAGAACAAGAAAACCACCAAAAGTGTTATATGGAATCCATGAAACAGAAAATGCTTTCGAGCACATGTATGAGGTTATACAATGCATTAGACATTTTCGTTAGCAATATTCTACTTACTTTTTTAAATGCACATGACTAAACGTACATTGATCAATATATGTGTTATATGCATAGCAAAATAATAGCTTTGCTTCTCCGAAGACCAGGTAATGGCACTACTGATCAGATTCATGAGCACAGTGTGAGTGGTATTGGGAGCCTGGGAATCACAGTGTGAAAATTAAAGTGAGGATGGTACAGTACAGATATCTGATCAGCACATTTCCCAGGGAGACCGTCAACCTCCCTGTTTCTCTTACACCCATTTCGGCACCAAACGATACTAAAACCTCAGCACCCAGCAGGATGAACCAGTCTTTCCTAATTGTGGTTGAGAAGAGCACTTGGGCAATGGAACAAAGTGATTAGCACACATTCCTGCTCAGCCTTCAGATGATTAGTTTTTGGATGCGTACACTGTGATAAAGCATAACTTGAACTTAAACTTGTGGGGATCTGTTTTTAGAAAAGTGGAGATGGAAACATTGAGAGAGTCAAGACCCATGCAGCTCTCCTCCTGATGGCCCTGAAAAGCAGGAATCATGGACAAACAAAGCTATTTTTGCTCTCCAGTTATCCTCTGAGCATTTGTCTTACTGAACCCCACAATTTGTCTTGATCTCACCACTTTTGGGGAGGTTTCAATCCCACATTTATCTACTCTCTCACCATCATCTCTAATCTCTCTCTTTCCCCTGCCTCTATGTCCTCATTTCCAAACACACATACCTCTTTTCTGTCACAAATGACCATTCGCAGGATCTCACTGCCCTCTCCAGCAGGCACTGTTTTTCAGTTTCTTTGACACCAAAATGGTCTGTGCATACTTTCTCCACATCGTTACCGCCTACTCCCTTCTTCATCTTTTGCAAACTAGCTTGTAGTTCTACCTCCCCTCCCCACCCAATGCTGTTTCTTAAGTTAATCATGATCTCTCTCCCTCACTCGGTTTGATCTCTACCACTGTCCTCTAACGGTCTCTTGGCACAGACTCATCCCTTGTCTTCGACAACCTGACATTATCCAGGTTTTTGTTTTTCTTTTTCTGATCCTTCTCTCTTATTTTTTCTTCTACCTTCAAGCTATGACCATTATCCAGGGCAGTCTTTGCTTCTCTGATCTTTTTCCTTTTTAAACCCGGAGAGATATTAAATGGTATTCCTCAGTCGGAAGTACTTAGAAGTGGCCACTGAGAGTTCAGGAACAACTGGAAGGGTGGACAGGTGGTGCCTCCCACCACTTCAAACAGAATAGTTCTGCTTTTACCTGATTTACTTGTTCTATGTTGTCTCTCTTGGAGAGTTTATTTGTATTCACCAGTGTACTGAAAATTGCATCAAAATCCTAAAACTTGAATCTAATTTCTTGTTTTTCCACTATCTCTATGACTTTTGACAAATATTACAAAGTTTTAATGCATTTCTTACATCCAGACCTGTGCCTTTCCTTCCATCTGGACCTCTCTCCTACCCTAGTCCTCAGCACCTTCCTAACTCCTACTGATATTTTGGTCTTCTATGTCACTTCCTCCAGGAAGTCCTCTATGAACTCAAAATCTGGGTAGGGTGTTCTTCTGGTGTGGTACCATTGCATTCTGTATCAATTTCTTAACACAGCACTTATTTCATTGTGTTGTCTGTTTGTCTACATTCCCTACTAAACTGGAAGCTCACTGAGGACAGAATATTATTTATACCTCTAGCGTAGTGCTTGGCATGTAATGTTTGAAAAATACAAGCAGATAAATATATATCTTAGCAAGGATATCCAAATTAGGTGACACTGCTCTCTAAAGAGAAATGGAAGGGTTATCCCTCATTCTGATCAAGCTGATCATTCTTCTGATTTGCCTGCTTCCTGAGTGTCCTTGACACCTCCTTCATCCACTTCTGAGTCCTGTTCACAACACCCTAACTATTTGCCTTTTGGGAAAGTTATTTTATATTTCCACTCTGGTTTTTCTTGTCTGAAACAGAGGTATACTGTTAAAGATATCTCTGATGACCAGGAAAAATTTAAGGTACTAAAAATCGTGCTATTTTCCCAACACTGTATTATTACATCATTCTTAATAAAATTCTAACAATATAGTATTTTGGCCTAATTTCAACAGTTCCAATGCCTTCCACTAGTAAATAAAGGTAATAAACCTTCAAAGGATTTGAAGCTATAGCTAAGCAGTTTATAAGAAGAACGTTCATAGTTAACTGCCTTGTAAAGAACATATTGCTTCAAATACTTTTTGTACAAAAATGTGTATATACAAATGCAACAACAAAAAAATCCTAAAATTAAATCAAAGAAAGGCGCAACGTAATGTCCACATACACTCTGCAAACACAGCATTAGAGAAATTTCAAACGGCTGGCGTACTAAAACTAGAAAGTGCAGGAGGTATAGTCCCATCTTTAATCCTAAATGGTAATATCACCTTCAACAGGCAAAGCCTGAGTACCTCCATCATAAATGTTGTAAGTTCTGAAAGCAAAATTACATTTAAATTCAGTGAGTTTTGTTTGTGTTTGTATAACGAGAATTCAAATATCAGATAAGTAGCTAATGAGAGGACTTTTAAAATCCTGTTCAACTCAGAGAGTCTGTTCAGGGATTTAGATCGTGAATCAATTTAAGTCACTTTATCTGCAGGGTAAGTTTCTCATATTTCTTAAAACAATAGCAATTTTGTAAAGAGAAAAACCCACAGCCAACAGGGGAAATACTACTTACGAGTACTGTGTCAGCAGTTCCAAATCATTATGCATGTTGATTGGATATGCTTCACTGAGTTCGAACAACTTCTCCAGGGCCTCATAAATGAAAATGATGCAAATAAGAGAAGCAAAAGCTTCTTCAGTAAACCGGGTGATATAGCAGACGAGGGAACTTGCATCGGTGGCCACGAGTATGATACACAGAGTTGCGGTCCACAGTCCAATACTAGCTCTTAAGGATAGGTATGACAGCCCATATTCTCTAGAAGGGGGAAAAGAACAGTGGCAATAAGGGCATTTAACAGCTGGCCACCATTTTAAATAGATGGAAATAAGTCTAATTCAGGACGTGAAAGTAAATAAGCTTCACATCCCATGACTATCTAAATTCAAGACTGTCTAAAATGAACATCTAAGGGGACAAAACTAAAAGGGGTTTCTCAGTGTTTAAAACAGAGCATCATTTTTTAGAAATTTTACTGAACATATTACACAAATCTTTTATTTTTCCTTTATTTCCATGGAGAGATAAAAATGGCAAACTGAATCGAATCAGCCACTTCTACCTCTCCCAGCAGACTCCGAATGTGATGTTGGGAGAAGTATAAATACAGTGGAGAAATAGAAAGGGGCTAAGGGCCAAAAGTATGTGACACTTACTTGCAAAATTTAAACAAAATCTTTTCAAACACCAAAACTGGTCCCGTACTGCCTAATATGGTAAGAGGCTGTCCACCAAAGAGAGAATAGGCTATCCCGGTCATAGATGCTCCAAAGAGAGATTCGATTGCACTCTGTGTGGAGATACAAATAAGTCCATTATCTAAGCTGTACAGGCAACCATTATAACTAGGGAGAAAATATTTAAAATACATGAGTATATTCTTTCTCCTTTGCTCTGAAAAGCCTAGCGACCTTGGGCAGGATGTGGGGTAGGAGGATAAGAAAAGAGACAAGCAGTCAGCAGAATATGAGTGGTACTCAGTGGGGATACGTCCTCTCCACATTCCTTATCTTGCTTTTTTTTCTCCTACTAACAATTTACATGTGTTCATGGTAAGTGTCAGGACAGAAGCATGGCCTATATAAATAGGAAATGCGCTCCTTGTGAGGCGAGAACCAGAGCGAAAAGCTAGCCAAGGACTGGGGGTCAGGAATGAGACCAGAACCGTGTATGAGACTGAGAGCTAACTTCTGAGGTATTCCACTCCCAGATTACCAGTTCTACCTGCCATCCAGGAAACTCATATGAAGTGTACCGGTTACGACCACACATCAAATCTCTCCTCATGACGGAATCCAAAAGCTAATGGACAATTATCTATGAATCTTAAACACTGATTGAGCTTTAGAAATCCAAGGAGAGCATAATACATACTATACGACCTTCAGTTGCTTCTCCCAGCAGTCCTCCAAACGTGATAACAGGAGACATACACGCGCAGTAGAGAAACAGAAAAGATGCTAAGCACTGCAGGCTGAAAGCATCTCTGAAGTCACTCCAGAAGTATGGAGCTTTTCTTTTGATATCTAAAATAAGTCCCCCAAAAATCCTAAGATAGGGGGGAGAAACACAAGAGTGAAATCCAAATATAAAAAAAAACCCACACAAATCAAAACCCTCATTTACTCTGTTGCCAGGTCACAGTATACGTTTTCCATCAGCAGAGATGAGACCCATTTTAACCTGCTACATTGTATTATCGTGATCTACAGAGGTGGCTTTGCACCACTATGTTACTTCAAGTCCTAACCAAATATTGGGCCAGCAACCAAAACACCCCAGGTTCTCTTAAACAAGGTTCAGAGAAGTTCCTCCAACAAAATTCAAGTAATGAGATTTAAGGATTACTCTAATCTCCGTGCCATTTCTGTATCCATCAATTCCTCCTAAACTCGGGTCTACTACCCTCAATCACTGGCAGTATTTCCCAATTGTTTACATTTCATTTAGGTGGCAGAAAGTGAAGGTTGGGAGGGTAAACTGGCTTTCGTATTCTACAATAGTGAGCATTACCCTGGAGAGAAGATGGAGTGTTTAACCACGGCTCCAGTTACCTACTTTCTCTCTTTCTCTGCCAAAATGTTCCTCACCATGTATTGTTTCCAGGCATCTAAATGGCCTTATGGACGACAGGAATATCTAGTAAAGACAGATTGCTTCCATAATTGTTTCCATTTTTAGGAAATTAGGAAGGGGACCTTAAAATAACCAACCTAGAGGGCGCCTGGGTGGCTTAGTCAGTTAAGCGTCTGCCTTCACCTCAGGTCATGATCCTGGAGTCCCAGGATCGAGTCCCGCATCAGACTACCTGCTCAGTGGGGAGTCTGCTTCTCCCTCTGACCCTCCCCCCCTCTCATGCTCTCTATCATTCTCTCTCTCTCTCAATAAATAAAAAAATCTTTTAAAAAATTTAATTAAAATAACCAACCTAGAAAAATGTAATTTTGATCCACTTTTATCTAGACATATCCCAACATCTATCATTCATAAGACAATAGTGACCTTCCTTGCTATAAATTCACTTATTCTAAATGTATCCAAAAACCACATTGAAACACTTGAAAGAGGAGGGGCAAATGGCATTAAATTGTGAAATGCTCCCTAAAATTTAAGGACCAAAATGTTTTCAATCGACTAGGAACAAGAGTATTAATGAACAAGTATTCTCATTCTTTGAACATTTAATAATAATATGTGGATTTAACATTTGGCTACTAAGAGCTCTTTGTGCTCCATGGAATAAAGATGTCATATTAAAATGAATAAGACCATGATTAAGTTCCTACGGGAAGGTTAAAAAAACACATTGTGTTCCAATATACTGCCAGTATGCTGAATATATTTGGATTATGCAAAAATATTGTTTTGTTACTTATTTTCTAGAGAGATATATTCACTGGCAATCTAAGAATCACCTCAAAAATTATTGTTCTCTTGAGAAACAAATTCTGGTTTGCCTTGAAAAATGTATATCTTCAGGATAACTGAAAATTTTGACTATCATTTTTAATTGCCCTGATCTGACTGACATAGACACAATAGTAACATGTTAGTAACTATCTTACTATTATGTAAGTGATAGAATCACTATGTTTTTCTAGTGATTGCTTCCATCAGGGAGATAGGAGTAGGAGAAACTGAGTGGGATGAAATTCTAACTGAAAAAAAGACATTTAAATCCAAAGAAGCTTACAGTGAACCTGTGAAACTCACACACACAGAGATCACCTTAGTTTCCCCTACCTATGTTTGTTAAACATATGCATTGTTTTTATTTGGGGAGGATCATTTCTGAATGATGTGTTAACTTATCAAAGTCACAATTCAAAATAGATTTAATCTACTATTTATTCATTCATTTATAATTTATACCCCACCTAATCCCCAAAATATTTTGAGATGGTTATGAACTGTTACTTAGTGGTTAATATTTATAGGTTTGATAGTATTTCCTATTAGACCGTTGTTTTCTAATTAATTACTTATTAGGGCATACATTAGTCTAAATAGCTATTATATTACTGTGTAATGAACGTGCTTTTAGCAGCAAAAATCTAAATCCGGAAGTGGGAGGTCATTGCAGAGAACAGTGCAAGGGCAGCCCAGATGTACACCAGCAACTCCAGGAGAGCAGATGAGTAATGGATACTTCAAGTCATGTCAGCAACAGAATCTGTGGAAGAACTCTGGAGAAGCGAAGATACCGGATATTGGTGACCTGGGAGGATTTAGGAAGCAGTAAGGAAAAGTGAACTTCGAAAAAAATCTAAGCTATGTGGCATGTTACACCTGAGAGAGAGAGAGAGAAAGAGAGAAAAAAAAAGAACCACCAAAAATAAAAAGACAGCATTTGAAAATATGAAAGCAAACAGAAGGAGTAACCGCACTTCTAGTAAAGGGAAAAGGAAAAAATTGTTTGAATCATCTCAAATTATGTGTGGAGCCCGAGGAAGACGTTCAAGGACATTTCCTCAGAGACAAAACATAGATAAAGGGAAAGAACAGAGAATTAAAATGCACAGAGTTGTCAGAAACCAGAAAGTCGGCTTAGAGGACACAGTGAAAGCAGTCCCGGAAATGGCCTTGAGAGGAAGGGAGTACCAATCCTGCAAAGCCTTTGCCATTGCCTTCAATTATAATGGAGGCTGTGTGCGCACATATTCCCTGAAGACAGACCCTCCCAAGGCTTTCTGATTTTCTGCTCACACATTGCTTGGAGAGAGACAAGCTGTCAAAAAACGATAAAGAACCATTTTAAGAAATAAATTGAAGCTTTCATCTCTTCAAAGATGTGTGATTAGAAAAATAAATCATACAGCTCTTTCAAATTACAACCATAAAAATAAAAAATACTATTATATACATCCTACTTGCATGTAATGAGATAGGGTCTATAAGACTGAGTTCTTGATATTTATTTCTATTTCCACATTGAACTTGAAGCTTTCAACAGGCTCTTTTAGAAGGGGCAACTGACAGTTTTCTTATTCATTCTAAGAATCTGTGAATGCATTTTATGCACAGCAAAATGAAAGACTAGGTAAGATAAAATGGAATGATGTATCTGGCTTAATAGTAACAAAAATCATTAGCAAATACTGGGAAATCAAATTAATTGGCATTAAATAGGTATTCAGGTACTAGGTATTCAAATAAATAAATAGGTATTCAAACAAATCGGTATTCACTAAGTACTCAAAGTCTAAAAAAAATTACATCTCAAAACAGCAATTCCTGACACAAAGAGCGGTGTCTCATTTGGTCTTTGAAGTCCTATACAAGTGCTTTTCACTGACCTTCCAGTTCTCTGGAGTTCGGGTCCACTATGTCCTCCGTGGGGCTCTGCTTCCCCATGAGCTGCTGTTCCATTCGGTACAGCAGGAATCTTCCTCTTCTCCTGCAGGAAGTTTTTTGTTTTTGTTTTTTAATTTCAGGTGCTAGTTGTAAATAACAAAAACAGATTTTTTTCCCTTGAGGCAATATGCAGAGTGGCTAAGAACCCAGGCTCTGTTACTTATTTGCTGCATGACTTCTAGCAAGTTATCTAAGCCTCCTAAAGCTTCAGTTCCCTCCTCCATTTACCAGTTGTAATGACATCTGTTAGTGTGATTGAGAAAATTAAATGACGTGATGGGCATTTGTTCATTCTTTCAACTAATCTTTATTGAGTGCCTCGTGTGCCATGCATTGTTATGGATGTTAGAGAGGCAAAAATGAGCAAGAAAAAGCATTCTTACTGGAGACAAACAACAAATCTCTAACGTCAAGTAGAGATAGAGCTATGAAGATAAATGAAAGAAAGGAAGGGGACAGAGAGATGAGGGCTGGGTAGGTTGGAGTGAAGAGGTACTAAGTATGGTGGCGTTATATGCCTGGCATAGTTCAACTGTTCAATAAACTTCAACTATTACCATTAGCTATTTTTGAGGGTAGTTCCCTCTTTTATTCTGGCTGGTATCTTCCTACCCATGGAATGATTTACAATATGGTTTTTTCTGACTCACAGAGATTCAAAAGATTTTTACAAAAGGAGACTTCAGTTGAGCCATTGAAAAATTAGCTGAGGCTTATGTAAGTGCGGTCTTATTCACAAGGCTTTTCTACCCACTTTTTTTAGTGACAGAGATTTTTAAAAATCAGAAAATCCTACCTATCAGTTATCTTAGAGCATGCCAGTGTGTTCAAAAGGACTTAAAAGGATCATAAAAATTTTTAAAGTGGTGCAATTAAAATTTTTACTTGACTGCCATTCCAAAATAGTGTAAAATCATTATCAAATGTTCTTATGTACAATGGGACATTTAGGTAAAACGGCACAGGTTTAAAACATGAGAAAAATAGGCTTTGAAATGCACAAAATATAGAAAAGTTCATTGTTTAATGTTTTTACAACTTTCCAGGTATATGAATAGGTACATTGAACTAAAGTTCAAAGATAAAAGAGAGGATGCCTGTCAACTGATGGAGCACCTGCCTTTACATATAAATAATTATTATCTGTTGTAAAGGGCTTTAAGAGTGGCCTCAGTACCTTCAATACCCAACAGTCACCCAGGAAACACTTCTTAGCTTCCACAAATCTCAGAAAGCAAGTGATATTATTTGGTCTTCTGGGTCATTATCCCTTACTGGCTGTGTTAACTCATGATCTTACGATGGAAAAAGCTATACTTAGATAAGGCAAATGATAAACCATGAAAGATATTAGCCATTCTAAAGCACCTGTTTCATCAAGGAGTGTTCATCTTATAGTAAGAGGGAAAGGTGTGTGAAAAGAGATGTGTGAACAGTACTGACGAATATTCTGAGGAAAATATAGGAAATATTTTTTGTTCAGAAACACAGGTATTTTGATATTTTAAAACAAATCAATGAGTGAGTATGTACTTGACTACTCAAATTATACAATTTATTTAGTCAATCAACAAATACTTATTGAGAGCCAATTTGTCTCAGGTTCTTGGCCCCACCACTAATACACCAGTGGACAAATCAGGTCTGTGGAGCTCACATTCTAATGGGGAATGCCAACAATAAAAAAATAAACATGTAAGTAAATTAATTCTATGGTATGTTAGAAAGATTAAAACTATGTAAAAATAAAAACTTATAGTAGAGTAAGGTGTGGTCTGAGGTGTGGGCCGGGTGGGCAGGGAGGAAAGAGTGGCAATTATAAACAGAACCATCAGGTAGGATCAGTGAGAAAGTGTCATTTGAGAAAAATCTGAGGGAGTCAAGGGACTAAGCCTTGAGAATAACTGGGGGATATCCAGATAGGAAAGAAGAGCCAATGGGACAGTGTCAAGGCAGGAGTATGGCTATAGGGTCTGAAGAACAAGGAACAAAGAAGCCAAGGGGGCGCCTGGGTGGCTCAGTTGGTTGAGCGGCTGCCTTCGGCTCGGGTCATAATCCTGGAGGCCCGGGATCGAGTCCCACATCGGGCTCCCTGCTCGGCGGGGAGTCTGCTTCTCCCTCTGACCCTCTTCCCTCTCGTGCTCTCTCTCTCTCAAATAAATAAATAAAATCTTTAAAAAAAAAAAAAAGGAACAAAGAAGCCAAATAGTTGGAGAGGAGCGAGCAAGGCAGAAAGTGGTAGTTTACTTTGAAGAGGTAAAGGGACGTCAGAGTAGGTTTAGTAAACCATTGTAAGTATTTGGATTAATTCTCAGTGAAATGAGTTAGTGTTGTAGGGTTTTGAGGAAAGGAGTAGCATGACCTCATTTGGAGTCACTCTGGCTGCTGTATTGAGAACACAGGGGCCAAGGACAGCAACAAGGAGACCAGTTAAAAAACTATTTCAATAATCCAGGAGAAAAATGATGGTAGCTTGAACTAGAAGGGTGGCAGTGGCATCAACAAGAAGTGGTGTAATTCTGTATAAATATTAAAGGCGAAACCAAGAGTATTTCCTGGCAGAATGGAAATCTAAGAATAAATTAAAAATTAGTAATTTGGGCTTGATCAACAGTAAGATTGGAATTAGGACCTAACAAAAAAGAGAGTGCAGATAGAAGAGACTTTTCAAAAAGATCAGTTTCTTGTACACTTCAGGAAGCATCATATTGCCTTTTCTAACATAAATGCAAAGATGCAGACAGGAACAGAAATGAGACAATCTACAATTCAGTTCAAACTTTGGACACGTCAAGGTTTAGATATCTATAAGACATCCAAGTGAAGACATGGGACAGGCATTTGGATAAATAACTCTCAAGTTCAAAGTAAACAATAAATTTGGGAGAGGATTTAAAGCTATAATATTGGATGATATTATCAGGAGAATGAGTGTAGGTAGAGAAGAGAAGATGACTACAGACTGAGCCTGCATCATTTCAAAATATAGAAAGAAGAAACTGGCATAGGAGTCTGAGAAGGAGTAACCAGTGACCTAGGAGGAAAATCAAGAATGTGATGTTTTGGGAGCTAAGCAAAGAGAGCATATCAGGGAAAGGGAAGTCATCAATTCTGTCAAATGCTGTTCACTGACAGGCTAAATGAAATTCAGACTGAGAGTTGACTATGTGATTGAGCATTGTGGAGATCTTTGGTGACCTTCATGTAAGTAATTTTAGTGACGTGATGGGGACAAAAGCCTTATTGGAGAAAGCTTAAGAGAGACTTGGAGGAGAGGAACTGGAGCAGGTAGTACAGAGAACTCCTGTGCCATTTGGTTGCAGAGGGGGAAAAAAAAGGAATGGGTGAGTAGCTGATAGTGGTAGCAGTAAAGAGAGTTCTTTTTTTTTTTTAAGATTTGCAAATTAATAAGGTTGCATGCTAGTGAAAACAAAAGAATTGATAAAGGAGAGAAAGAGGAGAATTGGTGGTGTAATGTCTTTGAATAGGTTTGAAGAGATGGGATCTAGTGCAAAGGTAGAATGCTGACTTCAGATAATTCGTCAATAGTAATATATGGGAAGGCAGATTATGTGGGTGCAGGTGCCGGTAGGCAGATAGGCATGGTAGTGGGAGTCTATGGAAGTTCTCTTTGATCATTTCAAATTTCTCAGTGAAGTGGGAAGCAAGTCAAATCTGAAAGTGAGGGTCAGGAAGGATGTGCTGAAGATTTGAGGACAGAAAACGGGTCTGAAATAGTCATCTAGAGAGAATTATTGGCCTAGGGGAGTATAGTATGATGAACTTGCAACATTAAGGACCCACTTGAAGTATGTGGTCATGAATTAATGAAATCGGTCAGCGTAGTTATGTTTTCCTTCAGCTACTCTCAGCTGTATCAATGCAGGTACAGATTAAAGAGCTGGATTCACACAAGGTTGTGGTTTCAACAAGCAAGTAAATGGTATGAGAGAAAAGCAAAGAAGTTTGGGGTATACAGAAGGGAGAGATTATAATGCCTGACATAAAGTTCTGATGAATATTTTCAAGGTTATCCTTTGAGGTGACTAGTTATTCTCTTAACTGAGAGGAAAAAGTGCTTAAAGATCTGTGATTTATGGGGTGCCTGGGTCCCTCAGTCAGTTAAGCACCTGACTCTTGATTTTGGCTCAGGTCATGATCTCAGGGTTGTGAGATCAAGCCCCACATCTCCCTTTCCCTCTGCCCCGGCCCTCACTCATGTGTGTGCTCTCTCTCAAAAAAAAAAAAAAAAAAAAAAAAAAAAAAAAATCTGTGATTCACACATTTCAAAAGAACATAAAAACCATGGAAATTATCCCATGGGGGGAAAATAGTATTTGAATGAGTATGAAGTCAGAGTATTTAATATCTTTTAATTTATCTTGCTTCATTTAATGAAAGAAACCATAGTTCACAGTATCTGTTATTCAATTACAACACACATTTAAAAAATACTAATGTTGTAAAGAAGCATAGCAGAACCCAAATGCCTTGATTCCTAATTCAATGTTCTTTCTACTACTCCCTCTTAATACTCAGAATCCAATAATTAATCCTGATTTTAAAGAGTCCCATAAAAATAACTTTAAAAATAGAGTTTCCAGGCCTCAACTTGCTTCAAAAATATCATTCCTCAAAGGCAAGATGTTTTAAAAAATGCTTGACTTCAGTTTTAATGTTTAAAAAACTAAATGGTGTTAACAAGTGACTTTTAAAGTCTCACTCTCAATGTATTAATATTTTTTACAAGAGAAATTAGAAAATATTTTAATTGAAGGAAAATGAAAACACAAATATATCAAAATTAGGGGGATGCAAATGAGTATCACTGTTCCCTTGCTCTCTCTCTGTCTCTCTTCCAAAACAGTCTGTATTTTATTTTATTTATTTTTTTCTTTAAAATTTTTTATTGTTATGTTAATCACCATACATCATTAGTTTTTGATGTAGTGTTCCATGATTCATTGTTTGTGCATAACACCCAGTGCTCCACACAGAACGTGCCCTCTTTAATACCCATCACCAGGCTAACCCATCCCCCCACCCCCCTCCCCTCTAGAACCCTCAGTTTGTTTTTCAGAGTCCATCGTCTCTCATGGTTCGTCTCCCCCTCCGATTTACCCCCCTTCATTTTTCTCCTCCTGCTATCTTCTTCTTTTTTTTTCTTAACATATATTGCATTATTTGTTTCAGAAGTACAGATCTGTGATTCAACAGTATTGCACAATTCACAGCGCTCACCACAGCACATACCCTCCCCAATGTCTATCACCCAGCCACCCCATCCCTCCCACCCCCTACTACTCCAGCAACCCTCAGTTTGTTTCCTGAGATTAAGAATTCCTCATATCAGTGAGGTCATATGATACATGTCTTTCTCTGATTAATTTCTTTCTTATTACTTCAAGAAGCATTATATTGCCTTTTCTAATATTGTAAGTGCAAAGATGTTTACAAGTACAAAAATAAGTCAATCATTACCTAAAATTACTCTTTAAACAACTTCTTTTATTTTAGTAGTTTGAAATCAACTGAAATTATGTGGCTGTAGGTATAGAATCAGAAAATTGTCACTGTTGAGAAAAGGAAATCAAATAATCTTTAATAATTATGAAATGACCAGAATTTTTTCTTCTTTCTTTCTATATTTCTTAAATTGATAGTGAGATTAAGCTGACCTTTTTAAATACTCATGGCTGAGTGGTACACTTGTTCATTTGCCCACCTCTGGCTAACCAGGAAAACTTCTATGTCCAGGGCTGAGTCAACTAAAGCAGTAGAGTCTGACAGGTTGTACTCCACAGGGACAAGAACCCAAGACAAGGCTGAGTAGATGACAACTGGGAGGGTTTCAGGAGGCATATTCAGTAGGAACAGAGGTGGCCATATGAGTGGGCTTAACAAACATTTGGCCACCAATCTCAACAAAGTCAGGCCTGCAATTAAAAAATGTGACACCAAATAATAGCAACAATCTTTCTTTTTACCTTTCTGGATTATATAATGAGTGAAATGCACACTGGATTTTTATAGGCAAAATTTTTATAATTTTTGTACCATATGTCCACACAAAGTTAATACATAAGATTATAATTTAAAAATTATTCCTGATCATAAATATGATTAGCAGTAATGGGGAATTTTCTATATAATATGATTAAGCCGGCCATTGAATTTTCTCTTTTTTTTAATGTAGTCATTGTTTTATTTTTAAAAATATTGATCCACCTGGATCCACCTGCACTAAATTGGAACTTGTAAATGTTCCAATTTAGTGCGAGGCAAAATTAAATAAATCTTGACATTAATTAGGTAAACAATACATACATACCGAAAAGAACTTTTTTAATTTTTTTTTTACTTTTTTTAAAGTTTTTATTTTAATCACCTGGTGCTTATCATGACAAGTACATTCCTTAATCCCCATTATGTATTTTACCCATCCTTCCACCCACCTCCCCTCTGATAACTATCAGCTTCTTCTCTACAGTTAAGAGTCTGTTTCTTTGTCTTGCTCCTTTTTTTCCCTTTACTCATTTGTTTTGTTTCTTAAATTCCACAAATGAGTGAAATCGAATGGTATTTGTCTTTCTCTGACTGACTTATTTTGCTTAGCATTATACTATCTAGCTCCATCCATGTTGTTGCCAATGGCAAGATGTCATTCTTTTTTATGGCTGAGTAATATTTATATTTATATATATATAGCTAGCTAGCTAGCTAGCTAGCTAGATAGATAGATAGATAGATATATACACCACTTCTTTATCCATTCATCAATTGATGGACACTTGAGCTGCTTCCATATCTTGGCTATTTAAATAATGCTACTATAAACACAGGGGTGCATGTATCCCTTTGAATTAGTGTTCTTGTATTCTTTGGATAAATACCCAGTAGTGTGTCTACTAGACCAAAGGATGGTTCTACTTAACTTTTTGAGAAATCTCCATACTGTTTTCCATAGTGGCTGCACCAGTTTGCATTCCCCCCAAACAGTGCAAGAGGGCCATTTTTCTCCACATCCTTGCCAACACCTTGTTATTTCTTGTTTTTGATTTTAGCCATTCTGACAGGTGTGAGGTGATAACTCATTGAGGTTTTGATTTGGATTTCCCTGATGCCAAGCGATGTTGAGCACTTTTTCATGTGTCTGTTGGCCATCTGGATGTCTTCTTTGGAGAAATGTCTGGTCATGTCTTCTGCCCATTTTTAATTGGATTATTGGGTTTTGGGTATTGAGTTTTATAAGTTCTTTATATATTTTGGATACTAACCCTTTATGGGATATCAAAAAAAACTTTAAAGCATTAAAAAACTTTGAAATGTCTTTAAAGTTTAATTTCTAGAAATACAGCAGAATAAACATTTCTAATCGATAGACTTGAAAGAGTTTGACTGAGTAATGAAATGCTCAGCGTGGCAAGGTAGAAAACAAGGTCATATGTCTTTGTTTTTCAACTTAGTGATAAATGATGTCAGCTAGGAAAAATATAAATTATTGAGTGCCTTACTATATACATTTTTATCTAGTTTTCATTTGGTATATTATAAGATGGCACATTCCAAAAACTATTATCTGCAGAGAACAATCCTTTTCCAATCCTTTATGTCCGTACGTTCCCATAGATATCAACATGAGAGTGTTCATTGCCTTGAGCTCAATCGAGGTACTGCATGACTTTAATGTGAATCCTTTAGTGTTCTATAAGGTCATGGTATAACTGATTTTATGTAGAACATGTAGTTCTCATTTCTTAATTAGTTGCTCTGCTCCTTCTCTTTCGTACTGAGTACAGTATCCACAGTTACTCCTATATGCTGCAGGGACCAGCCTTCCTCCACCTCCAGGGGCCTTCTGGGAAAGAAAGTAGAAAGACTGTATAGGGATGTGTGGTACCTGATTTTTATCATCCAGTCAAATAAGACCTGTGAACTGCAACACTAAACAAACTTTCTTCTCAGGACCCACTTGGACATTGGAGGGCAACAACTACTTTTTCAGCTGTTTCAGGAGATTCTTCAGGTCGATCAAGAAGCTCCTTCTGTGTGGGCTCTTCAGCAGATGATGAAACTTTGGTTAAAGGCTCAGGTTGGGGTGCCTGGGTGAGTCAGTCAGTTAAGCAACTGACTCTTGATTTCTGCTCACGTCATGATCTCAGGGTGCGATCTAGTCCTGCAGTGGGCTCTGGGCTGAGCAGGGAGCCTGTTTGAGATTCTCTCTCTCTCTCCCTCGCCTTCTGCCCCAACCCACTGCTCATCCACACACGTGCTCTCTCTCAAAATAAATAAATAAAGGCTTAGGCAAGTTGTGTCTCTGCTGCTTCTCTGTGTGATGTTTCAAAAGATGTCTGACTTGTTTTCAAGCACCAAATCTTCATCACCCACAAGTTTACGACCATTGCTTAACAGGTTTCACCTGTTATCTGATAAAAGCACTCTTCCAGTTTTCTCAATTTCATTTCCTGGTGAGGTCTTAGAACATTCTCTATGTATCTACTGGCCTTTGCACCCTGTGCTTTGTGTTTTTTTCTGCCAAGTTTTTGCCTTTTCTCATTCTTCTCTTTTTCTTTCAGATACTCTTGGGAAGATTTAAATGAATTAAGCCATGAGGTAGTCACAGAAATAATTAAAGTAAGAAGAGCAAGTGGTAAGAAAATCTGGACACACAGCAAAATTAGATCTTTAATTCCTAGATCAGGGATCCTATGCTGAGCTCCAGACACAAGAAGGGAAGAGCAGAGAGGAGGAAAATGCCAATAACCCCATGAGAAGCTATAGTGGTGGGAGCCCCATATTCTGTGCAGGAGGTTGAATTTTCTTAATACTTGCCAATTTCAAAGAGCTATATCAACCAACAAGCAATGCTACAATCAACCACACAAGCAATGCTACGATCCAACTCAATTCTGACACTAGTTAATGGGACACAGCATCAGATTCCAGGGTTGAGGGTTCATTCCTGCAAGATTGCCCCCACGCCCCTCCCCAGGTTGCTACTTGAGCTTCTGAGTGGGGCTATAAATCAGATGTTCCCACAACCTTCCACTCTGGTTCAATTAATTTGCTAGAGCTGCTCACAGAACTCAGGGCAACATTTTACTTATAGATTACTGGTTTATTACAAAAGAATATACCTCAGGAACACAGCCAGGTAGAGAGATGCACAGGGCAAGGTATGGGGAAAGGGCAGGAGCTTCCACGCCCTCTCCAGACATGCTACTCTCCCCACTCTCCACATGTTCACCACTTGGAAGCTCTCAGTTCCCTGTCCTTTTGGGATTCCATGGAGGCTTCATTACATAGGCATAATTGATTAAACCATTGGCCACTGGTGATTGAACTCAATCTCTAGCTCCTTCCATTCACTGGAGGTGAGAGGGTGGGACTGAAAGTTCCAGCCCTCTAATCACATGCTTGGCTCCACTGACCCCCAGCCCCCATCCTGTGGTGAGTTCTAAAAGTCACCTCATTAACATAACAAAAGACACCTTTGTTGTTTTCCTCACTTAGGAAATTTCAAGGGGCTTAGGAGCTCTGTGACAAAAAACGGGATGAATACCAAATATATATTTGTTATTATAAATCACAACATCACAGAGGTTATAATTTAAATCACTTTGAATCTTTTGAACAAGTTATACCATTTCAGTACGTGTATTTAAAAGACAACAAAATGATGGCATTTTTAAGAGTATTTTCAAATAAAACATACCTGGGAAGGAACATTTTTGGGAGGCTCTATACGAATGCTTGGATCCCATTCTCCAGGAGGGAGAACAGTAACCTGATCCAAAAATTCATCGATTCCTGATACCAAGTCATTGCGATCTTTAGCTTTGTAAGCAACATCATGAAATACCTATAGGAGGAAAAGAAAAAAACAATAAGTAAAAGATAAAAAAGCAATTATAAAAACAACATGTTCAGTGTTTTCATTTCCTAGTTATGTCACAATTTTAAAAAATTGGCAGCTCTAACTAAAGAAGTTTTTAATTTAAACTATTATAATTTAGTTTATTTCTATGAATGCACACAGATATATATTTTTCTTAGAATGCTAGAATGAATGTTGAAATTTCTGGAGGCAGGAGTAAGAGAAAGGGAAAGGAGTAAGAAAGGAAGCTCATTAAACTAGAATTAAGGATTCAAGTTTGGCAGAGGTTATTTGTGTGTGGGTAAATCAAACTTTCAGAAAGAAGCCCTTGCTTAAAAATAGAGATAATATTTATAGAATATGTTAAAAATTTTAGCAATATTTATACCCCGGTACATATAAACCAATTAAAAAGGCTTATTTTGTTTTAATTTTTAAATAATAATAAAGTTATAAATTAGTATTCTCTGGGCATATATCATATCTACACAGTGTAGCAAGCAGACTAATACACCCATTCAGGTGTAACATGTCACTTTCAAGTGTAAGTTAAACACGTTGCCTTTTGTCTGCTATAGTGACTGAGAAAAAGCAAGTCGAGATGGAGTGTCTATGGGCCTGGGTGCCTGAGTGACTATAACGAGCAGAACGCTTGCGCCAACTCATGATAGACAACGAGCATGATAGAAGGAAATCCTCATTGTTTTAAACCACTGAGATTTTAGGTGGTTATTCCTGCAGCATAACCTAATCTCTTCTGACTAACACACAGAGAAATGATATACTTAACATAACAAATGAAGAAAGTAAAAATAAAGATAAATTGGAAAAATTGATCTATACTAAACATCATATAAATGTTTCTGGTACTTTCTGTATTTCATGTAATATGAAATGGAACAAATATTTCAGGCTTGGGGCTAGTAAATTATTCTATATGCTGAGCTATGTATTACAATGGCTACATATTCCAAAATTTCCAGGGAAATTGTGCTTTCAAGTGTTTTATTCTACTTTTAGACCATTTGTTTTAGTTTCTGGTTTGATACTCAATCTAAATTGCTGAAGAAGAGATAATGATTATTTTCAAAAGCTTTTTGTTTACTTTCCAGCCAAGAACTTTTCACAAAAGATTACTGGTGTGATAAATATACAGTCTTTGCTTAGGATAAATTGAAGACACCGAAGATATATTAATGGTTTAGTTGTATTTGGGAAAGATATATATTTTTTTTAAATATTGACAACACTGATTTCCCTGCCACAAGCCACTGAGATTATAGCCCAGAATATTTATCCTCTTCTAACGAGTTTTATATGGCCATGAGACCTAATCTGAACATTTAAGAATTACAAATGTTTTTAATCCCAACAAGAGTTTAGCTACTTTACTAAACTCTCTTGAAATCTTTCTTGAGTTGATCTCTTAATTTAAAAATTGCTTCAAGAGATCCCATGATCCTATACCTGCTTTAGATAAATGAATGTCCAAATTCATCCAGGACAGCTGATTTCCTATTATCTTAAAACTCCTCAGAGGTATAGATACCACAATTTGTTTGATTTTTAAATTAAAAGCATTCTTTACTATTGATTTCCAATCACCAATTTCCCCAATATCTTAATTACTTTAAACAGCTTCTCTCCCTTCTCTCCCTTCTCATTATGTAGCTAAGCTACATTCTGATTTCAACATACATTTGACTTTTAAGAGAAGCCTTCCCTCATCCCCTCTCAAACAAGATTAGACATCTTGTTAATATTCTCCTAACACCTTCTTCTTTTTCTTGATAGTTTTCACTGTAATTGTAATTATATAATTAGTTGCTTCATGCTTATTTTCCTTGCTAAAACATGAGCTCTGAACATTCATTTAATATTTATCAAACTACTTATATGCTAAAGATACAGCAGTGAATAAAACCAACAAAAATCCATCCCTCATGGAGCTTACATTCTAGTGGGAGGGGAGAGATGGAAAGTAAACAATATAGTGAGTATATATTTTGTTGGAAGGTGTTATGTTCTATGCAGAAAAATGAAGCAGGGAAGAGGAATAGGGGTATGATTGGGGGATGCTGTGATTTAAGTAGGGTGATTAAGGAAGGCCTCAATGAGACATTTTAGCAAAAACCGAGGTATTGGAAACAAGAGCTCTCCAGACAGAGGGCAGAGCCAGTGCAAAGATTCTCAGGTGAGAGCAGGCATGTCATATTTGAGAAGTAGCTAGGAGGTCAGATCCAGGGAAGGAGTGAGCTAGAGGGAGAGTAACAGAAGATGAGGTCTGAGAGGAAAGGTCATCCTGTAGGATTTTGTAGATCATCATAAGAATTTTGACTTTTACTCTGAATGAGATAAGAAGCCATTAGAAGGCCCTACAGAAGAGTAGCTCTAGCTGTCTATTGAGAACAGAATGAAATAGGCAATAGCAGAGAGAACAAGTAGGAATCTATTGCAATAATAGAATAATAATGGTGGCACAGAACAGGTGATATGGGTAAGAACAAGGTGATAACAGTTCAGAAAGTCAGAAGTAGTAGGATTCCAGATATATTTTGAAAGTAGAGCCAGGAAGATTTATTGGCAGACCAGATTTGAGTGTGAAAGATATAGAGGAGTCAAGGAGGACTTCAAAAGGCCAGTGACCATGTCTTTAATTTAAAAAAAAATTTTTTTTAAAGATTTTATTTATTCATTTGAGAGGGGAAGAGAGAGAGAGAAAGAGAGAGAGAGCACGCACAAGCCAGGGGGAGGGACAAAGGGAGAGGGAGAAGCAGACTCCTCACTAAGCAGGGAGCCTGACCCAGGGCTCGATCCCAGGACCCTAGGATCATGACTGAGCTGAAGGCAGATGCTTAACTGACTGAGCCACCCAGGCGCCCCCACAGTTTTCATTTCTATCACACAACTAGGAACTGTCCTTCTTTTCTTCCTTCCTTCCTTCCTTCTTCATTCTTTTCCTCCCTCCCTGCCTCTCTTCCTCCCTTCCTTTCTCTTCTTTCTAAAAGAGGAGATTCTAGATCATCTTTGTAAGGTGATAGAAATGATAGAGTAGGAAGAAACTGATAATGTAGAAACTGGAGTGGATAATTAGGAGCAAATTTCCCATCGATGCAGTGGGTGGGAAGAAGGAGGATCCAGAAATGGAGACTGATAAAAAAGCAGCAATGAATTAGGAGGAACCTCAGGAAATGTGTTTGTTTCCTTCAAGCCTGCTTTTACTATTTTTGGGCCTTTGTTCTTCCACATATTTCATAGAATAAACTTACCAAGCTCCTCAATAAATCCCAACGGGATTTTAAGTGGAATTGCAATGATGGTTTTCTCACCACCATCATTGCTTGCCTAAATTGTTACAATGCCTCTTAAGTGTTCTCTGCTTTTTCCCTTGCTCCTCCACAAGCCAAGTGATGCTTTTAATATGTGAGACAAATCATGTCATTTCTCTACTCAAAACCTTCCATTTGCTTCCCAACTCAAAGTCCTTACATGACCTACAAATACTCTACAAAGACTGGCCCATTGTCTCTTTGACCTCATTGCCTACTGCCCTCTCCCTTTCCGAAACCTCCTGCCCAGCCAGGTTGTCCTCTTTGTTATTCCCCAGATATTCCTGGCATGCTCCTGTCTCAAAGCATTTTCCCTTGTTTATCCTTTTGCTTGGGAAGCTCTTCCCTCAGATATCTGAATAGCTTGCTCCCTCTCCTCTTTTAGGTTCTTGATTTTAACTTGAAACTCTCCCCATCCCACTCCTCTCTCCTTTCCTTGCCTTGGGGGTTTCCTCTATAGCACTTATCACACATACCATATATTTTACCTATTTATATGCTAGTTCATCTTTCCAATAGACTATTAGCTCAATGAAAGAAAAGGCTTTTGTCTATTTTGTTCACTGATAGATCCCCAGCAACTGCAAGAGTGCCTGATAAATAGTTTACATTCAATAAATATTTATTAAATGAATTAAATAAAGAACAAAGTGAAGGAGGAATTTGTCATACTAGAGACCAAGACTCATTATAGTAAAGACACTATAATTAAAATAGTTATGGCACAGAGATGGGTGGTTTTGTTGTTGTTGTTGTTTGAAAAGCACTCATTGCTAACCATTGAATAAATGATGGACTAACCAATAAATGGTGCTAAGCCAAGTTACTATATAAAAATGAAATTGGGTCTTTACCCACCTCCCATATTAAAAGCAATTCTAGGTATATTAAAAACTTATATATGAGAGAGAAAGTATAAAACTCATGAGCATAAAATAAAAGAATATATTTATGACCTTGGGGTAAGCAATAGTACACATTTCAAAGTTTTAGTTTCAAAACAAAGCGCACAATTAATTTTAGTTGTTATTCATGAAAAAAAGATGTTCAAAAATGTGAAATGCCAATAGAAGATCAAGTGACATGAGTGCTGAACACGGAATAGTATATTCTATAAATAGTGGCCTTACTGAGAGCAGTTTTCATAGAGTGGTAGTGACAAAAATCAGACTGTAATACCTTGAGATGAATGAAGCTAAAATAACCAGGTCCAGGAAGATGCTACTCCTTTTCAAAGCTTTTGAAATTCAGATTCAGCCAACAGTTCTTCAATGGTAGATGCTATGTGAAGCAGTAAGGGATTTCCCTTTAAGGATGGGGAAAACCTGGACATTTATTTGATATGTATTTCTTAAGTAGCTACTATATTTGGGCCTGCTTGCTGATTGAAGAGAAAGAGTCAGTGTTGACTTAAAATCTGGGTAACAGAGAGAATTCTTGGCTCAGAAATCCAGAACAAGAAGACGAAAAACAATGCCACTCTTAGTAATGTTTTGTTTTTGTTTTTCCTTTTGTTTTCATAAAACTGTCATTTATGTTAATATATACTGATTTTATTATTTTTAAATGAATTTCATAAATACAGATTTTTTAAATTCTCAGCTTTAAGTTCTATTATGATAAATATCAGCATACTATTTATATAAACAAAAGCTCTTTGGTGTGCTTAATAATGTTTAAGAATGTTAAAGGATTAACATTGGTAGTAACGCCAATGGTAGTTGGTAGTAGTGCCAATAAGCAAAATCATATGATTTATCGCTGGTAATGCTCAACAGAAAGGAAGAAATAGCTTACTGAATTGATTTAATGTCAGGTATTGCTAAGATGACTAGCACATTCAGTTATTAACTCATTAAAAAAAAAAGATTAAACCCTGACTGAAGACCTGACACTATGCTAAGTCTAAAAATACAAAAGAAAAGACAGAATGACTACCCACAAGAAATTTCCAGTATGGAGAGGAGAAAAACCAACAAAGGTCAGTCAACAAATACTTATTTGAGCACCTGACAAAATCAGGGCACAAAAATGAATGATAAGTGTTAACTGCTATCATGGAATTTACAGTTTGATACCATAATCTGATTCACCACTTTCTTAACTAAACTATGAACCAACATATTAAATTTTATTCTTAATGAGTATAACTATTCATTGCCTTCAAGGCAATTAGATAAGCAGAACAACCTCTTTACCTGGGCTTTGAACAATAAAAAATGTTCTTTCTCTTTTAAAAGTATTTAAACATTGTTTTGGTATTCAATGGATCTACTATTATAATCAATTGCTCTGATTTTCTGGAGTAACTTTCTGTTTCTGCTTCTCTATCCCACTGCTCACAGAGAGTTACAAATCGCCCTAAAACTAAGCTCTAAACTTTCAAGTCAAAGGGATTTATGTTTGAGCCCGCATTTAGGTGGCTAATGCTTGCTCTCAAATTGCTCTCATTCTAAATCTATGATTTAAAAAACATGGGTGCTTCCCTGTTGTTCCATGGCCACCTGATTAGTCAAAAAGACTTTGGAACTGACATCTTTCGGTTGAGAAAACCTGACTCCTAACTGGGGAAGAGAAGAATTAGGAAGAGAGATACCTTACGTATATATGAACCTCCCATGACACAACATGCTCCTCTCATCGTATAATATATCCCATGCCCCAGAAATATCTTATGTCCTATTGTGGTAGATATAGAAACATAACATAACATGAAATATATGTGCATAAAAGTGACAGTACTTAAATTGTGGACTGCGAATCACAGTGGCATATATTTTGCAATACTGTAAAAACTGCAAAATATTAATCAATATGGAAACACTAAAAGCAAAGATACCGTGAGTGTCTTCTCAAGACAGTTCCACTAGAGCAGGTTTGTGGTCCTCATGAAGCCCTTTTCCAACTCCCCTGTCCTGTTCCAGATTTCCTCAATAACGTGATACTCACTGTGGTGAACTGAGTAGTGTCCTCTCAAAACATGTCCACCTGAACCTCAGAATGTGACCTTATTTGGAATAAGGGTCTTTGCAAATGTAATGAAGGTAAAGATCTCAAGATAAAATCATCCTAGATTAGGGTTGGCTCTAAGTCCAATGATGGATATCCTTCTAAGAGACAGAAAGGGAGAAGACACACAGAGGAAAGGGAGAAGAAAGCCATGTAAAAATGGAAGCAGAGATTGGAATTTTGCCACCACAAGTCAAGAAATGCCAGGAGCCACCAGAAGCTGGAAAGACAAGGAAACATTCTCCCCTAGAGCCTTCAGAGAGAATGTGGCCCCCTGCTAACACCCTGATTTCACACTTCTGGCCCCCCAAAATGTGAGAAAATAAATTATTCTTGTTTTAATCACCCACTAAGTTTTTACGGCAGCCACAGGAAAGGAATACACTCATTAAGTTGATTCTTTCTCAAATTGATAAAAAAAATGTGTTTTTCTTTCAGCTTTTGGTTTCCTATGTGTAAATATCAATAATGGATCCATATAAAACCTTAAAACATAATCTGGACAGATATAATAGAATTTATATCAAACTCCAAACCAAGTTCAAATTTCCAGGTTTCATAAACCTAGGGAAAATTTTATACAATACTAATTTGCTCTTTTTACAGATTTTCAAGTATCCAAAGCCATGTATTTCAATTAATACATTAAATTATTTAGATGAGATTCTAAAAAATGCATAATCTGTTATTTACTACTGAATTTTGAATGTATGACCCTTCCATGATCTTTTGTATCTACTCTTCCTTAACAATAAAAACAATAGATTTCCATAACCAGTTATATGTTAGTACTTATTTCTTATTTTTATGATTGTACATTTTTGAGACATACACCTCTTTGAGAAGCTGATAAAAGCTTTTTCCAGTCCAAAAAAATTACATACAAATTTTTTACATAGAAAAATTTGTGTGCTGTATCAAAGAGATCACAGACGCCTTGAAATTCATCTATAGCTCCTCTAATGGTTCAAAGACTCTCAGGTTAAGAACATTCAGGCAACTGTAAAGAGAGTTGATAGATGTTGCATAGCTTTTGGTATCATATATACTATTCAGATAACTACCAATGTTTTTTCAAGTCCTAAAATTATTTTGCCCAAAACAAGATTTATAATGATACTAACAACGGGGCTCACTTTAGCAGCACATATACTATAGGGGAATATTAATAAATACATTCAAAAGTGTCACTAAATCATTTTCTTTAGAATATGAGGTTTTAAAGCATTATATCCATGTGTGTGAATTTATTACCCCTTTCAAACAAATATTTCCAAAGGAAATTTTATAGTGGAAGCACAGAAGAAGGGGGATTCAATACAGAGAAATCTGATTCACAACAAATAATCATGAATACAGGAACTCCAAAAGTTAAGTGTACCTAGTAAGGGAAAATGTTCCCAATGAACTTGAATAAATACCTCATCTGTCATTAGGGTTGCAATTGATCTGCCAATCTCATGGTACTGTTGACCCTTTCCCAGGGGTCCCAGAAGAATGAACAAAAATCTGTAATTAAGAAGAAGAAAAAAAAAACAAAAAGTTTCATGGTAGAAATATAAAAAATAACTTTAGTAGTTACAGAATCACTCAGCTCAAAGGAATTATTTAAGATGAGGACTTCAATGTAAAATACTTACACATTTTTTCACAGTTTATTACTACTTTAAAGCACTTTATAATGATTGACTTTTATACTTAAGACCCTTGAACAAAGGGAATCCATGGTTATTTTGATCTCAGTGTTTTCCCATTTAATTACTTGTAGAGCCTACATGGTGGTTAGTGAGAATTTTATAATCTTTATTATAATCCTTAGAGGAGGAAGGTGAGAAAAGTAAAATATGATTAAACTTTTCTGAATTATAAGGAAGAACTCACTAATATGCAAATTATAGAATGAGGTAAAGAGGAAAAAAGTAATATAGTATTATAAACAAAGAAAGAACATATGGTCAAAAACAGTAGATATATGTTAAATTTACATTAAATAAAAATTTTTTTGTCAGGAATCAAAGATCAGTTAGGAAGAAAAAAATAGGGAGTTAATGATCTATTCATTCCAATTTTGGAGGAATAAAAATACTGACTGCATTGTGGTATTCTATCTAAATCAGACTGAAAGCCTAGCAAAGTCATCAGCACAACTGGAGCTTCTGAAGAAATCAGTACATGCTCTAATTTTGGAGGACCGGTAATTATCTCTGAAAAGGGATGCTTTCAATGTTAGAGTGAAATCGTGAAAATTTTAAAATGCCATATATTTTGCAATATAATTCAGTGGTATTCACTTGTTAAATGGTTTATAGTCTTAAATGTGAAGACTAATAGCTTTATAAGGTGTAAGTAAAACAGATACTATAACCCTACCCTTCATTTAGTTACAAACTTTAGTGATTACGCATGTTTTTACATAAAGCATATATTATAGTCTTAGAGAGTCTGACATTGATTTTTTGTGTCAGCTGTACCTGAATCCAAGTCAATTTCTACTACACAGAAATGTCCACTATAAATTTAAAACAGAAATAGCTTAATGTGGTGGCAGGTGCTTTATCAACTATAATACTTCCAAGAAATTTTGTAACCTATGTACATCTTGCCATTTTTCAGGCTTCTACTCCATGAGCTATTTATAAAGTCCTAAAAATTTATTCTCTGACATTTTTACTATGTGTTGCTATTATATTCATGGTGTGCCCTTTTGTCCTCCTAAGAGAGAATAATTAGGAACCTCGAACAGCTTTCTTTATTCTATTTGTCTAACTAATCTTCTTCCATTTTTCACCTTTCCAAACTAAATAGTCTAGTCTTTTTAATCTCTCCTTATACAGTGGCTCTCCTGTGCCCCTAATTTCTCCTCCATTGTTCTCTACACATATTTTGCTATGTCAGTATGAAATGAGGTCACCTAAACCTTGACAGTTTTCAAAGTGAGGGTGTATAACCCCATTAAGGCTTTTCTCTACTCCTGGGAATTTTTCTTTTCTTTCTTTTGAAATACAGGAACTATCCTTGTCATAAAGAGCCATCATTGACGCAGAATTTCATCAGACACCTTCCTAATGGTGGAACGGGAATGCGCTGCTTGGTAGACTGAAAAGGAATTTTAAACTACTAAAATAATACCTCTACAATTAGTAAGTTTGACATCTTAAATCTGAAGTCCAAATTCCCAGAAACTCTGAATAGGTTACAAGTTGTATACAGAAAAATGCAGTCTAATCATACTCAGATGTCATTTTAATGTGCTCAGGTCATCATTCCTCTTTTTAATAAAAGTTGGCATGTATCAGAACTCTCAGTAGCCCTCCAACAGGATGAACAGACACTTCTTTCTATAACCTGAGTGGTAACCAGGTTCCTGCTTCAAATCTGTTCCTGTCACAGATTCAGGGATAGGTACTTTTGGGGGATGGGAAGGGCAGAGGGTGGCAGAGAATCTTAAGCAGATTGCATGCCCAGTGCAGAGCCTGACATCCAGGGTTCAGTCTCACAACCCTGAGATTATGACCTGAGCAGAAATCAAAAGTTGATCACTTAAGCAACTAAGCTACCCATGTGCAGCCAAGGATAGGTACTTGAACACCAAATCCCATATTAGTCAGCTGAGGTCTTATGAAATGAGGCCTCTCCCGGCTAAACTGTTCCACATTTTTGGAATATCTTATCCATAATCAAAGCACAGAGTGATATAATCTGCTGTGTTTTTAGTTAAGGCCGAAGGTCCATAGAGGAAACATATTTTACAAACCCAGTACCATAGCACCTGAACTTTTCATCATTTTAAATTGGCTGAGGCATTCAGTGTTTGGAAGAGGAGACATACTAATAGCATCTGAAACAGTTATAGTGTCAATCAAAGGGCACCCAACAGGGGGGAAATGGAGCCCTGCCTAAGTATGTTTTGCTACGGGAATACGAATGGAGTGAAAGGCTATGTGTATATAGAAATCCCATTCGATAGAGAGAAAAAGGAAGAAAGCAAGGTCCCCTGGATGAACTGCTAGGAACCTAACATGCTGAAGTCAATAGTCTTCTTTTTCTTCACAGTTTTGCCCTTGGAAATATATTTTATGTATAAAATAGAAATAAGTGATAAACAATGTAATTCAGTTTGTGTTATCCCTAAGTTGTTAGTTTTTATGTATAGTTAAATGAAAAATAAGTTTAGGTAATCAAATTAAATTTGTACTTTTGATTTGAATTCAACCACAGTATGACAAATCTACTACCAGTGATTTTTCAGACTCTGTGTATGGGAAGCATGCTGTGCCTGAGATGGAAATACATGGTACATTAGATAGACATTTCCTAAGGTTGGTACTTACATGTATTCAGAAGGCCTACTCAGTCAAGCATAAGCTAAGCCTTCGAAACCTTTACCTTTTTGAGTCTGACCACCCTCATCTGCTGGATCCTCTTTTTAGCCCATAGTCTAATGCAATCTTTGAGGCAAACCTAACACTTTATCTTTTTTACCAACATTATAAGAAAGGTTTTATATGGCAATATAGACCAGGGTATTCAGAGTTGAGGAGCAAGCCTGAAAGAAAACATTGGAGTTTGAGATGAGGGAGGAAAGGACCGAATAATTTTTAAAATACTTTTTCTCCTCTTCCACAAACAAGAAGAAACAATTTTGTGAATGACCCATTAGTTTCTAGAAAAAACTTTCAGAGGAAATTATATTTACTTCTTGTTTTTTGTTTTGTTTTGTTTTGCTTTTTGGGGGAGGAGTTACCCAAAAAATGGTTTAAGAAAAATGCAAAAGATGCTCTGATAATTTTTACCTGGTTGGAATTGGGACTTCAGCCAGTCCTTGAAGCAGCACAGCAGGAGACAACCTGACAAACGCAACTACAGTCCGATCCAAGAACTCTAACTCCCCGACGAGGATGTTTGAAGCCTCAGCACCTGGAGGAATCTTTTTCATAAAATGCAGATCAACCTGAGAGCATCACAAAGTAAAATAAGGTAAATCAAAATTTGCTAAATCATATCCTAACACAGTGCTTCACACATGGTAATCCATCAATAAATGTAGGTAAAATAAATATAGCTTATATAAATATAATGTAAATAAAGTTTTAAGATAGTTAACCATCTCATTTGCCCTTTAAAAATAGTAACTATTTTTTACTTGTATATTTTTCTATGTTCTCATAAATAAGCTGAATACTCTAGTTTTTCTATTTCGTGTCTTTAAAAGACACTTCTTTGGCATCAGCAATCTTGAAATTTTCAGGGAGAAAAACTTACGTGCTCAAGTAAATGAATTACTTTAATCATAATTTAATGAGTATTCACCAATAAATTTAGATATTTTATACTACGTTATCTTAATTTTGTGCACATTTCAATTAATACTCAAAATATGCCTATTTCAAAAGAAATGTAACCATGTTTCTCCTTACAGTATAAATTATGACTTTAGTCTCCATCTTTCTTCTAGTTTTTCTATATCCTTCACATTCTATACTTGGCCTGATCATTCTTCAATTTCAATTTCTCATCAGAAATTAGAATTTAGATATAGCAGAGTAAAGAAAACAATAAAGGTATTAACATTTGAAGTTGCTAAAGAGCCACAGTTAAATTTCTGATATGAGATGTCTGTGATGGAAATGAACGTACACAAAACAAAAGTGATCATTAACAAGAAGAAATGCTTAAAAGGTGAATTCTGGAAAATGATTGTAAAACATTCTTAAGAGTAAATATCAATTTTTATGCACAGGGCCTCAGTAAAAACCAAATAGTGACTCTATAGTCAATTTCACAAGGCTTATTTCTTGTTTCTAATTCATTTGAGTTGCTTTTTATGGGTATCTGTAGGGAGAATAAGAGTTTATCTGCTACAGTAATTGGTTTTATGCTCTCATGTTAATGAAATGGGGGCCGAAGGTCAAAGTCGGGATAGCCAAGGGAGAGAGAAAAGAGCTCTGGTAAATATAGGTGAGGTTAAGATTTTTTTCTTTTGCAAATTCAATGATTTGAGATTTTTTCCAAGAAGTTTAAAATGAAAAAAATTACAACTTTTAGAATGAGTACCTTAGGAAGTCCATAGCCAGACTGTAGTGACTACATTAAATATGTTACTTTCGGAAATCAAGACCTCAGCATTGCTAGTTAGAAGGTTTATAACTACCTAATTTTTCTATAAGATAAGGGTGCCATAAAACATAAATCCTATTATATGAAATACACATTTTATCACAAGGATTAAACATAAAAATAATCTGCAGTACTCCACTAAAAACATTAAATAGAACCAAGGTTTTATTTTAAAGGAAAAAAAATGATTTAACAAAACAAAACTGCCTATAAAATTTATGACAAATATTATAAATTCTAAAGTTTTTATTCTACAAAAATACTTCCAAATATAAATTTGTAAACTCATAAAACATATACATCGGGATATTACATGGTAAATATTTTCCTTTTATGGAATCTAACTTTTTAATTTATAGATACAAAGTATTTATTTACCTTAATAATAGAAGGTTAAATTTCATGGGAATTATTATCATATTTTCATTTTTATTTTTGTAGCTAGAAGAAATGCACACATTGAAAATGCTTTAAATTAGTAATGTTTTACAATTTTACAATAACGCATAAATTTTCAAGAAGAGAATAAAAGATTACCTATATACTATTAGTCCTGTGAGAAAAGCATAATATATCTTCATAAGTCTTTTAGGGTCTTTTTTCCCCCAATGGAAATAACAATTATACAATGTTAATACACTGGAACAAAATTTAAAGTGAGAAAGCAGCTTTTTGAGAAAATTTATAATTGATAAATATGAATTATATTGGTAATACCTGTCATAACTTTACTGAGAAATTTAAATTCTACCCAAAAAACTCTCTATAAATTCATTTACTGCTTGACAAATGCTGTAGCCTCAACTACTGACGTCTGTGCCTCAGTCTGGTGGCAATCATAAAAATAAATGCTTTAAGAGGCCATTTAATTAAATCAAGGAATACATAGTGTGCTAAAATAGTCTAATTTTACAAAAGTAAATATATGACCCTAGCATTTGAATTTTTTTTTGCATTACATAATACCTAATATATCATCGATTTATATCTGTTATTTAGAAAAAGCATAATTTCAGGGTTAGCAAATTTGTCTTTTGATTTAAAATGTAATAATTTATAGTTAAATAATATATATATGGAATAGCCATTATATTATACTCATTACATTATATTATTCTTGGGGTAGTCATATATTTGGGAGTAATAGATTATATAATACATTATCTAATTATATTATTATATTATACAATTATATGTTATATTGTTCTTGCATTAGCCCTATATTTTTGTATTTGTGCTAATATATTATTCAGAAGAACCCTGACAATCTAACTACCTTTTAATATAACAAAAGATCATATTTAAGAACCACAATTTAACCTTTTATAAAATTACAAATACCTAAAACTGCTCTGAAGAACTAGGCTAAATTATACCTTTAAGACAATCCTTACGTGGACTCGAGCAGTTGGAATGAACATAAAGAAACCAGAATTTTCTGGTTCTCTGAAGAGGAGCTTGAAGAAATCAAGGTATATACTCTTATGACTATGGATTCACACTCATGCTTCTGGGTTCTCTAGACCTTTAAGCTAAGAAGAGAAAGAAGCTTTATTCTGGGCATTTGGTACTTAAGCTGCAGGTGAGAAACAGATATATCTCTAGGGAACAAGGTTAGACAGAAGATCATGGCAGAACAAGAAGTGTCTGGACAAGCCACATGCTGAGATGTGAAGGAAGCAGTGATGGGACTTTAGGGAGAAAGTTTAAGTCTTAAGCCCATTATAGAAAGTACAAGAAAATTAATAGGGATTCTCTGGGGAGAAATGGTGTTGTGACACTAACCAGCCAGTGATCTTGAGCAGCTCTCTTACTTTCTCTGGGATTCAGCTTTCTCACTTTCTAAATGAGAAGATTTCTAAGGTTACCTATAGTTCAAGGATTTATCATTGAACCAAATCCACTCATTGTAATATGTTTCACATACTAAAGATAGATGCGAAAGAAAGTTCCTTCTACATAGAAAATAACGTGAAGTCTTCTTTGGGTCACTTGAAATAAGAGAAACACCACCAACATCTGGGAAATACTAAAATAGCCATCTTAGTTTAAAAAACAAAAAGATATAGAGTGTTTTGACACCTTTGCTTTTTAAAAGCATTATGGGAAGCAAAAACCTGACAACTCAGATTATATTCAAAAACATTCCTCAAATTAATAGATTTGATGAGCTTATCCATTGGAAGGGTTAAAAATATGTAGATTAAAGGTACCTAGGATACAGTATTAAGTCACATGAAATGAATAAAGACTTTTTTCCCCCTTAACATCTCAAAATTCTACTCGGGTTTGGAATCTAAGTATTAAAGCTTAAATATTAACATAGCCAAAGTAACCTGGAGACTAGCTGAGCTTTCATAAATTCACTACCAAACTGAAATCATCAGAGCTAAAATCCCTTAACTCATGTATCTGTAAAATCTGGCACTAAATTTGTCTCCATAATGATGGATCACATTTGTTCTTTTCAAACCCTATTACCCTGCCCTCCCAGGTCATCAGGTAAGAAGTATTACTTGGAAAAAAGTTCCAGAACTAAAGGTTTAAATTACATTAAATCTCATAGGATTCATTCAACAAATACATCCCAAGCACCATTCAAGGCACTAGACATCCGGGGGAGACCAAAACATATTAAATTCTGGTCTAGTATTTATTTTTGATACTATTTCCACTAATATTACCAACAACGACAATAATAATAACCACTTTTTATTGAATATCTGCTATATGCTCAGGAGGACTCTGCCAGGCTCTCTCTCTATATTATCTCATTTAATCTTTACAACAAAATTAGAAATAGGTAATATTGTTCTTATTTTACATATGAGAAATCTGAGGTTCAGAGAACTTCTCCAAGATCAGATAGCTTATAAATGCTAGAGTTAGGATTCAAGAGCTGATGTTCTTTCTCAAAAGCCATGTTCTTTCCAATGTGCCATGATATGGACAAGAGACTGGGGAATAGAGATGGTGGGCACTGAGTAGAGGGCTATAGAAATTTCACTTGCCTGTTAAAAGATGAAATGCACCAGTGATTGGAAATGCAGTAAGAAAGACAAGGATTAAAGGAAAGATATATATTTTTCTCTCTTCTGTAGTTCTAATTGTTTGGGGGGACCTGAAGATAAGAATATTCTCCCCGATTGACAGTATTCATTTTCTTTCAGTTGTAATAAAGCACTTGTGAAGGCTGCAAAGGTAGGTCGGAGAACTAAAAGCAAAATGGTATGGAGAGGGGCGCCTGGGTGGCTCAGTTGGTTAAGCGGCTGCCTTCGGCTCAGGTCATGATCCCAGGGTCCTGGGATCGAGCCCCGCATCGGGCTCCCTGCTCGGCAGGAAGCCTGCTTCTCCCTCTCCCACGCCCCCTGCTTGTGTTCCTGCTCTCGCACTCTCTCTCTCTCTCTCTCTCTCTCTCTGTGTCAAATAAATAAATAAAATCTTAAAAAAAATGATATGGAGATATAAAATTCAGTGTCAAGGGGTTATATCTTTTAAAAAAGTTAAAAGGTAGTTTATTTCAAAGGATGTGATGCATTATCATTGTTTTTGAGAGTGTTAAATATGCCCTTGTTATACTGTTAGTGCCTGCATAAATAAGTAAGCAACTTTTTATGTCATTGTTTTTAAAAAGATATTGTTTCAAATGAAGAATTTCAGAAATTAAATGTATGGCAGCTTGCGACAATTTTATTCCAACTTGCAGATGAATGAAGATGTAATGCTTTAAAAAGATATGTTTTTTTTGGAGCGGCAAATGGAATAATACATTTGAACTGGCTTAATATTTGAATCACATGCCTCCATATGGTGAAATGAGCTTTGAACCACTGTAGAAAGACAGCCCAAGTATGCCCTCACCTCTCTCTCTTGCTGGTGTGGAGGTCCTTTTTCATGCCTTTGTTTCATCCCACAGGGACTAGTATGCCCCTTTTGTTGGCCTCCCAGTCCCTGCACGCATAATTAACAGACTTAAGCTGGTACACTGTGCTCCCACGGAGACTCCACCAGGCACCAGAGGAATAACATGCACATGACTAGACCTAGACCATTTAGGCACTGGCAGAGGCATTCTGAAACAGCAAGGAGCTGATCGCCATTAATCTTCAGAAGCTCGATGCAGGCAACTTCTACTCTGCCTCCCATTCCCACCTCCTCCCACTGTTACAGTCATTGCCAGTCCTAAGTGCTTTCAAGGGGGAAAAAAATCACTCTTGGTTACTACTGTTTCAGCCACTCAGATAAAGAGAATTGTTGACCCTCTTTATTTTTCATCAATGTGGAAACTCCTCTTTTCTGGTCAAGTGTTAGTTTGCCATAGCCTTCGACAGCACATATACGCTGTCAGGAATTTGCTAACCAAAGTCACGTGTATTCTATTTTCTTAGAACATGTTCAAGTAAATGATCTCATTTGAATTGTCTCTATTTAGATGTATCCCTCAACAGAATCAGTTGTTATTATATTTTTATTCAAAACTCTGTTCAGTCTTATCAGGTCTAGTGTTTCCTTACACTAAGACCTTCCTCGATTATGACAATTAAGTTTATATCATATGGTTTGTTTTCCCACAGATAGAAGAAAAATGATTTTGGAAAAAAAAACTAGCAATAGTTTTAAACAATAAACTTCTGTTAAATTTTCTGTGAAGTCCAGCTATCCTGTTTTTCTCAAAGAGATACATTATACCAAGTGGCTGAAACCTGAAGACTATACATAAATCTTACACATTTGGTTTCGTGAATAAGCAAAACATGTGAACTTAAATGCTAACGTCATATATAACAGTATCAAGCTTTGGCTAAGAAACAAAAAAAAGTGCATGCAAAAAGTTGTGTCAACACCTCTTAAAATGGGTAGTAATTTCTAGTAATAACTCAGTGGCTTACTTAAATGAGAGAGAAAAGCTTACCTTGCTAAAGTCAACAGTGCTGTTTTCTCTGCTCACATCATTTTTATTTTCAACACAGGCTGGAGCAGACTGAGGAGAAACAACCTGACCTGCTAAAAGAAATTGTTATTACAGAATACAAACAATTACTTACATAATTCTAGACAGATTGAGTGAAATATGAATTAATCTAGGCTAACATAGGTTTCTTAATGAGTTTATGAGGTAAGCATGAAAGGTCAATATAAATAGATCGATATCAAAACAAATACTCTTATTTGTCAGTTACAGATAGAAATGGGAGAATTCAGTCAAGGAAAAAAAAACCCAATTCTCAGATTAAAGCTCCATAGCTAAGTGGTTATTCTCTATGAAGAAGATCATCTACAAAATATTTAAATCTAATCATGGTTTTGAAACATCATTGATTTCTAAATTTCACCCAAAACTAATGATATATATGTATGACATATATATATATGACAAGATCTATGATTTAAGCTCAACCTGAAGAATTAAAAATATACTTTTTTAAAAGGGCAAATATTTATCTGAATATTTATTCAGATATATCTGAATACATAACATATTTATAGCTTCTATTGCATCTGAAGAAAACAGACAATGACAAAAAATGCTTTGACAAAAACTTCTAGAGATTTCTATATGACAGGGGAAGTTAGAAATACCTTTCCCTTACACAGTACAGACCCTGTGAATATGATTTTATCCTTGTTACTCTTCAATTATGTAAGTATATTGATATTGCCCTGCATGAGAAAAGACCAATAAACTTGAATTGCATTAGTTTTCCATTAACACTAACCAGCAACTTAAGTACTTTGTAGTCTTTTCCCCATTATAGGGAAGATTATGATATTAGTTAAATGGACAGTAGAGGTGGGGATGTGACAATGGGTAGTTAAATTCCACTATTCACGAAATACGAAACATCTTTTTCAATCACAGCTTATCAGAAATCTGTCCATATTCAGCAATTAAGTGATAAAGATTAACAAGCTCTGCTTCCTTTCACTTGCATCTTTCTTCTTCCCTAAACTCCCACCCCCCCTCACTTACTACTTTTGCTGTGAAATGAGTAATGGCAACCCAGCTTTGAAGCCTTGACCATATTTATGACCATAACTCAGTGACTCCAAATTACTACTCTTATTTGCCTCAGCCTTAGACAGAAATACTCTCTCCTCTCTCTGCCTGCTTCTTCTCTGTACCCTACCTAAATCCCAATTTTATTCAAAGTTCACCTTTAGTCTCATCTTCTCCACTTACTAGAATCTGTACTTATCCGACCTTCTCTAAACTATTAGTGTATATACAAATAGAACCTCTTCTTTAAATTCTCTCCTGAAATCCCACTTATTCTTTGTTACCTAGAAATTACCAAGTATGACTTAAAATACTAATAATTTGCTTTCAAATATTAACTATAATTTTGCTGTTGGAATGATTAAGCCTCTCAGGCAGGGGTTGTTTATTCATAAGTACAATTTTGTTATGTTTTTAAATTGTTATATTGCCAGAAAGTAATGGATTTAAGATTCTTCCAAAACTTCAATATTTCTCTGCTTTCACTACACAAAGTAAAATAATACATTTGGTGAAGATTTAAAAATGAATTTTTATTTTTTATTTTTATTTTTTATTATTATTATGTTCAATTAGCCAGCATATTGAAAATGAATTTTTAAAGCAAATTTACCTCCAACCATGTGCACAAATTCTGATTATATCATATTCCAAGACTTACATGAGCTTCAGAGAAATGATAGACGTAAACTGCATCAGTTATTTTCATTCTCCCATTTCTAACCGCCATGTGCGGCTATGACTGTGAACTGTTCATTAGCAGCCATTTCATTTATCATTCTCAAAATAATAACTGTAATCTTAAAAAAACCTTTTACATAATGCATTTGTGCTACTAACAGATGTCTTCAATCACCAGTTTCACATCATTTCTCCATATTTTCACGAATTAGAACATTAGATATATTTAAACCTAAATTTACTGAATGTTCCATAAAATTGAGTGGTGAAATTCAAGGCGTGGAAAAATTAAATAAACATATATTGGCTTTCTTATAATAATTTATTTCATGTTATATAAACCTGCATGGAGGGACAATTATTTAATTTGATCAGCAAATACATACAAAAAGAGAATCAACCCAATGCAAAATCAACCACTTTGAAGAGATTTAATTGGATAGAAAATATGCCACGACTTAGAATCTGAAGAAATTGCATAGCCTGTGTTTTCATATATATACTTTAAAAGCAGAATATTTTATAAATTACCTTCAGCTCATGTGCTATCTTTAAAACATTGGCATTTGCATTTCCTCTTGTAAATATTAACACTTTGAGATTTATTTTTCTATTCTATTCTTGTTCTAAGATGATGAAAATATTACAAAATATTACCTCATAAAGGTGATAATCAGGAAGAGTACTTAACTAGCAGAAGACATAGGAGGTGATATGATATTTCTTGCAAGTTCTAAATTCTAGAGATGTGAATAGAATGTATGCTAATATAAGAGAAAGGCATTCAAACTATCAACCTATGCTATAGAAATATAAGCCACAAATTTGATATGTTTTATATTTCAGAGGTAATAGTTAAATAATAGAGGTAATTATTAGTAATAAATATATTTAATCACATCAGTCCTGCAAAGTTTAAAGAAAACTCCAAATTTTATTTCTTAATATGTACATTAATTTGTTAAAATGAAATAGGCATTGAATGTTTGTATCTTCAAGGTAGTTTCTGAAAACTTAGCAGGATGCAGAAAAATACATAGATATTATTATTTAATAATTAAACTGACAAGCTTGGTTTGGGTTATTTTGAAAAAATAGAAGTCTTTAAGGGGCTTAAAATTGTATTTGTTATATATCTAGTTCTATCTAATATATTAATATATATATATAACTAAATCATGAAGCGTAGTCTGTTGGATGACCAAAAGTTCCATAAATTAAAATAAATTTTATGACTTTGTCTTTGTAAACTGATCTCTTTAGTTTTTTCCAAAAATTACTGCCTTTCAGAAGGGAATGGGCTTGGATTTCAAAACAACTTTTATTAACTTAAATACTATTATATAAGAAGAATCAGTAAATACAGATTTTGAAAGGGCATTCCTTATTTTCTCTCTGATGTTTAAAACAATAGTAATTCATGGAATGCCAATTTTCAGGTATAGGATTTTACCTTCAACCAAAAGTGAGAGTATTTTTTCTAATAGAATAACAAAGAATTTGTTAGGATATTTTTCCCCAGGAGAAAATGGTATAATGGTAGGATTTAGCATTCGCATATATGTGTGGAAGCTTTATGAATGCTAATTTTCATGATACTCTTTCTAATCATGATGCCACAATGCTTTTGAACTTACATCTTTTTATCTACTTCTTTATATTACCTTCATTTTACCCACTGATCACTGTCCATATTAATATATCCTATAAATAAATGTCATTGTAATGTTTAATCACATCTGTCATTATAATATCTAAATAATTTTGAGGCATGAAGATGACTACTCAAAAAAGAGAGAGAGAAAGAGAGAGACATTAACTCAGCAGCCTAATTATATTAAGAGTAAATTATTCAAAAACAAATGAAAAATGGACACCATTAGTATTAACTGGGAGATGGTCATGACTATTTAAATGTAAACATTAAAGAAACCTAACATCATCCTACATATGTTTAGTTTTCCAGGCTTTTATAAATTTATTTATTTATTTTTTAAATGGTCTCTATACCCAACATGGGGTTTGAACTCATGACCCCAAGGACAAGAGTCACATGCTTTACCAACTCAACCAGCCAGGCACCCTATTTTTCCAGGCTTTTAAACTCAACTAGTTCACCATCTTAAATCCAAAACTCTAATATTTGTCATACATCTTATTAATCGAAGTGCATATTATGTAGTATTCATATTAGCAACTGCTTGAATTAATTTTCCTTTGAGTCATGAATTCATTCTTTCCTCTGGACTTCCATGAGGGAGCATATATCAGTCAGATAAAAAAGTTATTATAGACCACGTATTTTTACAAAGCAAATTATAAAATATGTGGGGCAAGCATAGGAGAAAACTGAGAGTAATTTAAGTAACTGCTAATTAGAAAATGAAAGTTCTGCCATTCTACTCGTTACTTCATAAATTTTTCATTAAGTCCATTATGAGACTGGCATAGTCATTTTCTTCTTCATAAAGTTGTGGGGAGGGAACATGAAATTATGTCAAAAGTATTATTTTTTTATTTTAAGTAGTGTCAGTATCATTAAAGCATCTCATTATGGAAACACAAGTGTAAAATATGTTCTCAAAATATCTGTAAAGTATCATATTAACTCATTTAAGCCCTTACCTATAGTTTTCTTCTTTAAATAAATTATGTACATAAGTATTGTATAAAACAGCAGCTTTTTAACTTCTATTTGGCCAAATTCAAATCAATAGGAGAATAACATATCACTTAAGAATAGCATTATTTGCTACTGCTTAATCTGCTGAAACTCATGTATATTGAAGGAAACTGGGATGAAGACATAAAGGTACGTTACTATTAACCTTGAGACCAAGCTGATTTACACTACCTCAGAAACCTTCAACGCATTTAGAGTACCCAAAGGGTAGGAGATGAGGGAGGTACAGAGATGAGATGAGCCTGTTAGAGACAGACACAAGACAGAGCAAAATAAAGAAATATAAAGATGAATGACAAAGTACATACATGTGTAACAATACATTTATTCATGGGAATAGAAAACATGAAGAAAGAAAGGCTAAATATTTAGAAAATGTTGATTAGGTGAGCTACATTTCAAAAACATAAAAAGTATGCACATAATTAAACTTGGAGAAAAATTAGTATGCCTGACGATAATTAATGTAATATAAGAAATAATAAATTTAAACACATCATATTAGACCTACTTTTGCTGTTAATATCTAGTCTTGATATTCCAAAACTCAGTTACAACAATATAGCCTCTGAACAGAACGTCAGTTTTGTTAACAAGTCACCTTGATTTTTTTTTTTTTTGGAGCAATGGAAAATACCTTTATTGAATAACAATGTTTACTTCTGACATCTATATGAATCTTTTAACATGTTTTTTTTCAAGTAATTCTTGAAATTAAAAATTTAAGAAATTCAAGACATAATTCTAGGTTTTTTTTCTTCAAAGGTAAAACATTAATGTGGAAAAATTTCTTAACTCTTTCTTATCTTATTTATGAGACCAGAGTATTTAAAAAACATGAAAGCATATAAATATCTCAACACATAAAAACATTATACATCTGAAAATAAAAAGTACAGCATTTGTAAAAGAAGTGATTATAAAGCAATAAAACTGATTTCCAAAAGCCATAAATAAAAATCATTCACAATACACATGTGTACATTTTTTAAGGGCTGTAATCTACGCAGGTCTACAGAATCAACTCATATCCAATCCTTCCAAATCTAAATGTGCTCCAGTAACCTATGGTTTTGAAAGTAAGTTAGAGACCTTCTGCTCTGTAACTCCTTTTGTGATCCTAAATAAAAGATGCAACTGGAAAATATTCATAACAGAGGGAGAAAAGATATGTGAAGGAAAAGAAATAGAGTTAGAATTATTAGTGGAATACAGTGGAATGAGAATAACCTACACCTAAGCAAACACATGAGTGTTAAATTATTTTTAAAACATAAAAGTATTATCAGTAAGTTAATATTTTATATTAGATTTGTAATCCAATGTTCAATTCAATTCAAAACATAATTGAATGCGTGACCTAAATGATAAATACAAATATTGATATATTTACTTTTCAGATCATTTAAACACAAGTGTTATTTTTATTTTTAGAAAGTCCTTCTAGTTTCAAGGAATTACTGACTATTCTTGATATATTTATTCTGAGTACTTTCTACCCATATCTTTTTTAGAGTTTTAATGTTAAAGAAGATATTATTTTTCTATTATTTTTTGCTGTTGTTTTGCCAAATGTAACTGTCACTTTTTATTGAAACATCAGAATCAGACATTTAATTCTCACAGTTTTGATGCTTAATGAAAAGTGAAAGTTAAACACAGCATGGCGGCATTCAAATGCACGGTGAATCCATAGCATCCTGCAACTTAGCCCTTGAGAGAATGTGCAAAACACCAAAAAAAAGAATTATACAAAAAAGTAAAGCTAACGTATTTAGAGGTAAGACTGACAAATTATCACAAATCACTAAAAAAGTTTTGAACAAAATAGTGCAGACTTGGGGAGGAAAGGAGCAAGGAAATCACTATCTTGCATATCAAAACTATAAAATGGGGAAGATCCACATTTGAGACTCAGAGTGAAATATCTGAATTTAGTTAACTCTTGGAATTACTACCAAGGTAATAATGCTCAAGGAAAAGTCAATTAAGGAAGTAGAAACCTTATTCTCTTTTTTAGATTTCTTTATATAAATATCAGTTCATTTTTGAGGGAATTTCCTCAAAATTTCCTCAAAAGTGAAAGTATATTAAAAACAAGAGGGGGCTTATTTCTATCCCTATGCTGGGGAAGGAAAATATTTTCTGTTTTCAAGTTTCTAGAAAATCCTCATTCCATTTAATTCCTATTCTAGAATCTTAGAAGAAAAAAGTCAATCTTTTTGCATGAAATACTCTGCTGAAGAGTTTTTTTTTAACAATGAGATATTATTTTCACCCTTTTGGATTTCTTAAAATCCTTCTGCATCTCTGTACTACTGTACACAAAAAATAAATCTCCATTGCATATTTTGAAACAATGTCAAATCTATATTTATGGCTATGAATTTCGATTTGTTTGTTTATCTGGAATTTGTCAGTTTTTAGCGTTCCTAAGTAGAATGAGAACCTTAGTAATAAAGGTCTTTCACACTTTTTTTCACTTCTGGATAGGAGATTTATCTCTAAATTGGTGAAGTCTATACATATTTTCAGATTTCTCAACACACATAATTATGCAAAGTGTATGAAGAAGCAAAACAGAGTCACAAGGAGGTGTTATAAGCCTAGGCTTAGAAAACCATTTCTGACAGCATACTCTACAACAATACTTAATTGGGTATATGAATCTTATTAAAAATGTTTCCAAGTTTTTATTACCCTAATGTGTGCCTCAAAAAGATCTCTACATGTTTAGATAAAGGCTGATTAGACAGATGGTGACAGAATCACTTCAGAACTACTCACATTCTAGTTTTCAGAAAAACTAAGCATTTGCCTCAGTAAGGCAGAAAGTAGGCTTTCAGAAAACTTTGTATCTCTATGTATCTATATGTAGACTTGTGATTCAAGACTATATTTCTATCATTTCTTCTTATGTTTACCAGAAGTTTAAAGCAGTATCAAATACTGTGTCTAGGTCTACATGATATTTCAATAAATTAGTCATCCAGTAAATTCATTACCTTCTTCCCTCCATGAATAAAATGCAATAACGTTATTTTTATGGTAAACATTATTCCCACTGAAATTTGAAATATAAATTACAGCTAGTTCACAATCCATGAGCCTTGCATTTTTAAACAAACACAAATCCTTCTTAAAGACATATATTTTATTATATGATTTCTATTAAAAGTAATTAAATGAAAGCAGAAATTTTAAAAATGTGCTTGCATTCATAGAGAGTTAGTTCATAGAGATATTTTAATAAGGTCTTCAGAATCATGTAGACATAAGCCCAATGTCAAAATTAGTAAATATCTGAATCTGTTGTTTTAATATCATCATACCCAAATAAGTTCTAGTATTATAAGCATAATAAAAGTACTACATTTAGATTAGGTCTCAGAATATAAAACCTTCACTTTGTCATTTTTATGTATAACATATTTTAAAGCAAATTGTGACTTAGAATATATTTTGAATATATGATGTGATTTAAAGCAAGTCATAAATTCTCAAAATCCTCAGTGGAATCTACAAATACAAGTTGGTATATGTTATAAAGTACTTAACTGAACTGACTACAGGTTTCCCTTGCTACACAAAAGTAGTGTTCCTATGAAACCCTTCATAAGCCAAAATGGCACAAAGTGAAGAGTATCCCCCACTTTCTGGAAGTTTGCCTTATGCCACTTCACTTTTAAGACCTACAAGAGTACAGTAACAGCTTTTTTTGTAAAAGCAAAATCCTCTTTGGATTTCTTTTGGTTAATGAAAATAGGTACTAATGCAGGTCCTTCATAAAAGTGAAGTTGCATGGGGCACCTGGGTGGCTCAGTGGGTTAAGCGACCAGCTCAGTTTCAGCTCAGGTCATGATCTCAAGGGCATGGGATTGAGCCCAGAATTGTCCTCCATGCTCAGAAGGGAGTTTGCTGGAGATTCTCTCTCTCCCTCTCCCTCTGCCCCTCCCCCCACATCCACACGTGCATGCTCTCTCGCTCTCTCTCAAATAAATAAATCTTTAAAAAGAACCAAAGTGAAGTGGCATAACGTGAATTTTCAGAAAGCAGGGGATACCTGTGTATGCACAACTACCGACTGCTATATAACGGCAATGATTTAAAAAATCAAGTAAGTATTTCAAAAATCATTTGCCATTAAGAACTGGTTTCGTGCTCTGAAACAATAGTACATCTAATCATCTTCATTGATTTATTAAAGCATTTCTTCTATATGTATATATTTGGTTCAGTAGTAGGAGAATTGGTTTAAAAATCCCATTTAAAGCACAAGTGGAGAAAACTCATTTTCATGCGTTTGTATTTAAGGCATCACTACAGCTTTTGAAAGTAGGAGTGAAATGACATAAAGTAGTCCATGCAGAAATATACATGCTTTAGTGCATTTGTGCAAGTCAGAGTCTTTCTAGTACAGCATTTGAAATTACTTTTCATTAATTTTTATCTTTTAAAACGGGGAATTTTTATAGCTGATGAAAGTTTAACAAATTCATATCATCCTCACGATAATTTTATTTTCCTTCACAATACTAGTAGAAAGGATGGATCTAATGAGAGGTTCCTAAGCAACTTCTTTAGGGTAAATGATGAAGGTTCAAATAGATGCAAGGAGAGAACAAAATACAAAAGAATGATAAAACAGTCTGAAGCACAAGCCATAAAGAGTAAGTCACAATTGCTAAAAAACAGTGATTGGCGTGCAAAGATAGTAAGTACACCGTGGCTCCATGGACACTGAAGATGTAGCCCTGCAAAGAGCAATGAGCTATGAACTGGAAATCAGGCTTCACATATGTAGAGCCACAAGTAAGGCACTGGTTGGTCTTTTCAATCATAATCTCTCATGGAATTTGTTGACTATGAATAACATGAAATCAATATCTTTTTTCTACCAACAGTAATTGGTGATCTTTATTCATTTTAACTTTAAAAAGCCATAATTCAAACCATTATATTACATTCTCAGGTTGTGGGATGAAGACTAGGACCTTGACTGGGATACAACTGATGCTGTTCATGTTTGTTGCATTTGAGTGTGTAACTTCTTATTAGATAAAAGTTTCCTTTGCATTCTTTCATGGGAATTTCAGGAAATTTAAATTCTTTGTTAAAATTTCTACAATTTGATGCTTGAAAATCAGTCTATATACGTATAAAAAAGAAATAATTCTACGACAACAATCTGTATTTCAATAAATAATTTTCAAATAAAATATGTTTTAAAGAATTTAGAAGCACTTTGAAATTTCAGATGCTTATAATAAACACAAAGAGTACAATAAAGAAACATTTACCATTTTTATCCATGGAATTTGGTTCTGATTGTTTCTTGCCAATATCAGCAAAGGAACGAACAATGGGAATTCTATTGGTGAGTTTTTTCTGATTTTGGTGGTGATGCTGTTTCATCAGTGCCTCATGAACCCTGTGGCGTACATCCTCATTGAGCTGACCTGAGCTCACTTGTTGGTCAAGGACCATATCTGAAGAAGGAAGGCAAGAAAAGATTAGCACAGTAGATTAGCATAGTATGCAAGCAGCAAACCACTGAGTCCAAACACACTACCCGAGATAATACGATTCATCTTAAAATAGAATGAATTCCTTTAAAAATCTCAAAAAGTTGTGACTTTTTGTTAAAATGTTGCACACAAAAAAAGACTTGGGAAAATTTTTACTATAAACCATTCAATTTTAAATACGTAATAATTTCATGAAGTATTATTTTTTAAATGGACATAGTTGCATTGAGAACAAGCACTTTATTTTCTCAATTATTCACACTGATGGGAGGAAACAGTAACAGGGGTAATATCGATATAATTAGTATGTTTAAAATTGTAAAGTGATTTATACTTATATTTTAATGTTTTTTTCCCTTTTTCTAGCAGAAAATGATTTCCATGTTTCCTCTTTAAGTAAAAAGAAGTCCATCTGTAAAAATCTAATGCAGGGAGGCTTAGGCAGCTATCTAGTTGGTTGCATTTGGAGAGTAAACAACTCTTACATTGATATAAAGTCAGACCTCTCAAAACTTCCTTGAAAATGTATTTATATTAAAAAGGTCTTCTATAACCATAAAACAAAGAATAAAGGTGAGATTTCAGAAGGCTATAATTAAGCAGATTGATATTTACCATATGTAGTGTCAGAAATGCCTATAAAATAAGTAGATGAGTAAAGGACTTTTAAGTTTCTTGGTAATACAAAATCACTTCAATAAACCTCATTGTAGGGAGAAGGAGGGTAAATGGGGAAGTAGGAGGATCCTGAGCTTACCTGGTCCCACAGATACATCAAGGCAATAGCTACATTTACACAACTAACTCTGAAAATGACCTGAAGACTGGCAGAACAGACCTTCCATAGCCAGTCATAGAGAGAAGGCCACATACAAAAGGGTAAGAAAGGCAGAGACGTTGTTGGGAACCAAACCCTTGGCAGTATTAATCCCAAATAGGAGGGAAATCACAAACATGGAAATGCAAGAGATCAGACCCCACACCAGGCACTCCTGGCACTTGAGGACCCACACTGGGAGGAGTAGTCCTAACTTCTGCCTTTGAAAACCAGCATGGCTTAACCCTAGGAGCTTTAAAATTAACAGGCTTAATTCCAAGGGAGCCTGAGGGCAATAAGGAACTTGAGCCCCCACTCCTAAAGAGACAGCATACTAAATAATTGAGCTGAAGACACAGCACAGAAGGAACACTTTGAAAAGTGTCTGGGGTATAGGTGAAGGAAACTTATTGACTAATCTTAGAAAGTATACCAGAGAAAGCAGGGATCTACAGGAGATTTCTCTGAGAGCAAAAGTGCTGGCAGGTGCCATTTCTCTTCCTCTCCTCCAGCAGGACATTTGTGGGAGCCAACTCTCTATTCTCCATCTACCCTGCTAGCACTGTGTTCCCCACCTGAGCATTCTCCTGTGCATCCACTTCACCCAACCCTCTTGCCTCTGCAGGCATCCCTCCAAAGCAGTTACTGATTGGACCTGACTCCAGAAGCAATGACAACAAAAGCAAAAATAAACAAATGGGACTCTATCAACCTAAAAAGCTTCTACACAGCAAAGGAAATCATCAAAATAAAAAGACACCCTCCCGAATGGTGGAAGATGTTTGCAAATCATAGATCTAATAAGGGGCCAATATCCAAAATACATAAAGAACTCATACAACTCAATACCAAAAAAATAAACAAACTGATTACAAAGGACCTGAATAGACATTTTTTAAAAAGAAGACTACAGGTAGCCAACAGACACAGGAAAAGATGTTTAACATCACTAATCAGGAGATGTAAATCAAAACCACAATGAGATATCTCCTTACACCTGACAAAATGGCTAGTATCAAAAAAGACAAGAAATAACCAGTGTTAGAGAGAATGTGGAGAAAAGGGAATGCTTGTGCACTGTTGGTGGGTTTGTAGGTTGCTGCAACCACTGTGGAAAACAGTATGGAGGTTCCTCAAAAAATTAAAAATATAATTACCGTATGATTCAGTAAGTCCACTAATGGCTATTTACCCAACGAAAAACGTAAACATTAATTTAAAAAGATAAATGCTGGGATGCCTGGGTGGCTCAGTCAGTTAAGCGTCTGTCTTTGGCTCAGATCATGATCCCAGGGTCCTGGGATGGAATCCTGCATCGGGCTCCTTGCTCAGCAGGGAGCCTGCTTCTCCTTCTGCCTGCCGCTCCCCCTGCTTGTGTGCTCTCTCTCTCTCTGACAAATAAATAAAATCTTAAAAAAAAAAAGATAAATGCTTCCCCAAGATTATTGCCACATAATTTACAATAAGCAAGATATAGAAGCAATCCAAGTGTCCATTGATAGATGAATGGATAAAGATGTGGTACACACACACACACACACACACACACACACACACACACACACGCACATATATATATAATGGAATATTAGCAATAAAAAAGGAGAGCTTGACATTTGTGATAACATGGATGGACCTAGAGGATATTATGCTAAGGGAAATAAGTCAGAAAAGACAGATACCATATGATTTCACTTACATGTGAAATCTTAAAAAACAAAAGAAATGAACAATATTTCCTTTTTTTAATTTTATTTTATTATGTTATATTAATCACCATACATTACATCATTAGGTTTGATGTAGTGTTCCATGATTTATTGTTTGCATATAACAACCAATGCTCCATTCAGTACATGCCTTCTTTAATACGCATCACCAGGCTAACCCATCCACCCCCCCCCTCCCCTCTAGAACCCTCAGTTTGTTTCTCAGAGTCCATAGTCTCTCATGGTTCGTCTCCCCCTCTGATATCCGCCCCCCTTCATTTTTCCCTTCCTGCTATCTTTTTTTTTTAACATATGATGTATTATTTGTTTCAGAGGTACAGATCTGTGATTCAACAGTCTCACACAATTCACAGCGCTCACCATAGCACATACCCTCCCCAATGTCTATCACCCAGCCACCCCATCCCTCCCACCTCCCACCACTCCAGCAACCCTCAGTTTGTTTGCTGAGATTAAGAATTCCTCTTATCAGTGAGATTATATACATGTCTTTCTCTGATTGACTTATTTCACTCAGCCTAAAACCCTCCAGTTCTATCCATGTCATTCCAAATGGCAAGATTTCATTCCTTTTGATGGCTACATAATATTCCATTGTATATATATACCACCTCTTCTTTATCCATTCATCTGTCAATGGACATCGTGGCTCTTTCCATAGCTTGGCTATTGTGGACATTGCTGCTATAAACAGCGGGGTGCACATACCCCTTTGGGTCCCTATATTTGTATCTTTGGGGTAAATACCCAGTAGTGCAATTGCTGGGTCATATGGTAGCTCTATTTTCAACTTTTTGAGGAACCTCCATACTGTTTTCCAGAGTGGCTGCACCAGCTTGCATTCCCACCAAGAGTGTAGGAGGGTACCCCTTTCTCCACAACCCCGCCAACATCTGTCACTTCCTGACTTATTAATTTTAGCCATTCTGACTGGTGTGAGGTGGTATCTCATTGAGATTTTGATTCGGATTTCCCTGATGCCGAACGATGTGGAGCACTTTTTCATGTGTCTGTTGGCCATTTGGATGTCTTTGGAAAAATGTCTGCTCATGTCTTCTGCCCATTTCTTGATTGGATCATTTGTTCTTTGGGTGTTGAGTTTGATAAGTTCTTTATAGATTTTGGATACTAGCCCTTTATCTGATATGTCATTTGCAAATATCTTCTCCCATTCTATAAGTTGTCTTTTCGTTTTGTTGACTGTTTCTTTTCCTATGCAAAAGCTTTTCATCCTGATGAAGTCCCAATAGCTCATTTTTGCCCTTGCTTCCCTTGTCTTTGGTGATGTTTCTATGAAGTTCCTATGGCTGAGGTCAAAGAGGTAGCTGCCTATGTTCTCCCTTAGGATGTTGATGTACTCCTGTCTCACACTGAGGTCTTTCAACCATTTTGAGTCTGTTTTTGTGTGTGCTGTAAGGAAATGGTCCAGTTTCATTCTTCTGCATTTGGCTGTCCAATTTTCCCAACACCATTTGTTGAACAGACTGTCCTTTTTTCATTGGACATTCCTTTCTACTTTGTTGAAGATTAGTTGACCAGAGTTGAGGGTCAATTTCTGGGCTCTCAGTCTGTTTCATTGATCTATGTGTCTGTTTTTGTACCAGTACCATACTGTCTTGATGATGACAGCTCTGTAATAGAGCTGGAAGCCCGGAATTGTGATGCCACCAGCTTTGCTTTTCTTTTTCAACATTCCTCTGGCTATTCGGGGACTTTTCTGGTTCCATACAAATTTTAGGATGATTTGTTCCATTTCTTTGAAAAAAGTGGATGGTATTTTGATAGGGATTGCTTTAAATGTGCAGATTGCTCTAGGTAACATTGACATCTTCACAATATTTGTTCTTCCAATCCATGAGCATGGAACGTTTTTCCATTTCTTTGTGTCTTCCTCAATTTCTTTCATGAGTATTTTATAGTTTTCTGAGTACAGATTCTTTGCCTCTTTGGTTAGATTTATTCTTAGGTATCTTATGGTTTTGGGTGCAATTGTAAATGGGATCGACTCCTTAATTTCTCTTTCTTCTGTCTTGTTGTTGGTGTATAGGAATGCCATTGATTTCTGTGCATTGATTTTATATCCTGCCACTACTGAATTCCTGTATGAGTTCTAGCAGTTTTGGGGTGGAGTCTTTTGAGTTTTCCACATAAAGTGTCATACCATCTGCAAAGAGTGAGAATTTGACTTCTTCTTTGCCAATTTGGATGCTTTTTGTTTCTTTTTGTTGTCTGATTGCTGGGGCTAGGACTTCTAGTACTATGTTGAATAGCAGTGGTGATAGTGGACATCCCTGGATGTTCCTGACCTTAGGCGAAAGCTCTCAGTTTTTCCCCATTGAGAATGATATTCACTGTGGGTTTTCCATAGATGGCTTTTATGATATCGAGGTATGTCATATCCCTATACTCTGAGG